TGATTTCTCAAACCTCTAAGTCCAAAATATACTATATTTAAAGTGCTTGTCCCAAAACACTCCCTGTATTCTAAAATTGAAGTGACCAGATGTAGATAAGATCCTCTTAGATCTTTTCCCAACAACTCCGACAGAATGAATGCAAAAAAGAAACGTTAAAGATTTTAGAATACCATAAAATGAAGGAGCCATTTATAAACTACCATATGATCACAGTTTTTATTAAGTATAGTGTACAGTAACATTAGACAATTAGCATTTGGGAATTCCTGAGTACAGGTTGAGCTATATGATTACAGGTTTAAGCTGGGATCCTATTACTAGCCAACTGTGTCAGAGATTCTGTTAGAAACAGCACATAAGTGACTAAGAATGAAAAGTGGCTTTTTAGCACAACATCATTTGTTATCTAGTTAATGATTGCCTGCAAATTTGCCTGCCAAATGCCAAGGCTAATCCTTTGTGTATCTTTACTGTGAAACACACCTGTTGCTTTTAAACCGTAAGGAATCTCCTTGGCAGACATCTCCAGTAGCATTCACTCTGCTGCTGGGTAGAGATCTCCATGACAGGGGGCATGCATTACAGACAAGCAACACTTCCACTGTTAAATTAATTGTGAAACTCAGTGTTTGTTAACCATCTCTGAACTTAGAAAAGCTGCCAATAACATTGCCAGATAGTTTAATGCTTCAGGAAGAGACCAGAGATTGCGAACTTCAAACTACAATAATAGAATATAATGCATTTGCATGATTTTTGTAATTTGCTGAGTTTTGAAATACTATTTGAATACCCTCCTACTTTTAGTGAGCATTATGTGGATCAAATATCATACTAAAACTAATATTTTGACTATAATAATGTCATTATTTAAATGGTATAACCCAAATGTTGCTGGAGATGAAAGTTTGTTAATATGGTGCATAATAAACATTCTGGCATGTTGAATCTAAAATGAACGTGTAAGTTTATTATTAATATTGTCCCTCATTTTGTAGCACCACTGCTGGAAGATTGTGCATCTGAAGTGTTGGGACAGCTGAGATTTTTGTTCAGATAAGCAGTCTACAAACCAGGGGATGTCTAGTTGTCTAGTTAAAAAAGCAGATTCACTCTGAGTCGAGACCCACTGGCTCCACAGATATGCAGACATTTCCAGAAGCTGATCAGTATTTCTTGTGAAGATGTGATGTACTAGGGGAAGATCCTTGGTAAAAAGTGTGGCAGGAAGAATACAGCAGGAGAATAGCGACAGGATAGGAGAGCCAAGACAGACTTAGAACCCATCTTCACCTCTGAATTTTTCCTTGATGAACATAATTGAAATGTAGTAGGGACTGACACTGTAGGGACACAGACTATTTAGGTTTTCATCCTAAATCTTTTTGGCATTGTTTGTCACTCTTGCTTATTTGAATGCATTATTGTCAAGGACCAAAGTTAACTCATTTTCTGTGACTGTATTGGCCTCTAAAACCTCACTCTGATTGGCTAAAGTGTGCTAAGAACACACACCACACATCAGCTATGAGTGGAGAGGAGAACAGAGTGAGGAAGCCAATAAATAGATGAGGATCATTAGGAGGCCATGATATTTCAACTGTAAACTCACATCTGCAGTTCTCTGTTACAAAGCTGTTAATGTCTAATTCTCTCTTTAATGCCAGGCCAGTATGTCACTATTCAAGGTATTGATGTAGGTGCATTGATTTTGTTGTAGCTAGTATTAAAATGAATTTTGTTACAATTAATAGCTTGCCAGGAGCATCAATTCTGAGTCAGAAAAACTGAAGCTTTCCTTTACCATCTTATTAATGAATATAAAAGGCCATTAATATATTTGATCATAGAGCCTGTCTGCATCTCATTTGAATTCAGGCCACATTCCTTATTTTGGAATGAACAGAAAATCCAGTGTTTTAAATTAAGCCTGGAAAAACAATGCATAACCTCTCACATAAGTACATACTGTATATGATTTTCTCCTGATGACCATAATTTGGTTATTTTATACTGTGGGTTGGAATGGCCTTCAGCATGCCACTTGCCTACTGTCAATCTCCCACTAACCTAAACCTAAAACTTCAATCTCCCACTAACCTACAACCTGCTCACAATTGACTCATCTTGTAAAACCCTCCACCTGAAATGTAGAATGGAGCTCATAGTCTGGTGAATTCCAGCTCAAGGCTGATCTGCGATCTACTGTGGAATTGTGCATGAAAAGAAATCCATCACCTACAACTGTAACAAATTCATAGAGTTATTGTGAGCAAAATCAGATGATCATTTTTGCAGCAGGTGTACTGGCCTTTTATTGAACAGACTTGACATGGATTAAGTCATTATGTTGATTAACACTTGTCAGCAACAAATTTGCTAAATAAGGGGTCTACCGAGAAGGTTATAAAATAGTAACATAGGTTAGGGGTATAGGGATGCAAGAAGTCATAGTGCAGTTCAGTGAAGGTTTGAAAGGTGGTCTGTTACAAACAGCTTATTTTGCTTTAAAACATCTCAATTACCATAAATATCAGTTTAATTAAGAATATATTTTAGGACATTATATATAGTATATTTATAAATGTATATTTAGAATAAACCTTTAGGTTCAACATGAATGGGCATATGGTATACCTTTCACAGGTTAAATGTCACATACAAATTCCTCATGGCTTTCAGTGATGGACTGTGCCTGTCATCTTTCTAGATTAGAAATTGCTGGCTGTGACCTCAGACTGGGAGCGACAGTGCAGACACATTTTAACTTCCAAACAGAAGCATGAAGGCATTGTTCTCTTTATAAGCGCGACATATTGGTTTTCTGTGTTTTTCTTTGATTTTCCCCAGCTTTGACATTTAACAAGTTAAATAACCTCATCATCTGTGCCCAATCAACTCTCTCACTAATGAGGTGATATAACACTTATGCAACAGATGAAGTCACTTGAGTGTATTATGATGGAGAATGGTCAATCAATCTAAGTGCCACTGAAAACATTTAATCAATATCCACATACTTTATTTTTCTTTTAAGTTTCTTTTGATGGTCATTTGGCAGAGAACCACCGAGTGTGGGTGTTTGGAGTTAGCTCTGGGACTGCCATTTTTCAACAAATGATTGATCTTTTTTAGCAGTCTGTCTGTTAACAGTAAGGATTGATTTCACATTCTAGGACCATAGGTGCAGAGATGCAGATAGCCTGGCGACAGTCATGTTTCTGATCCAAGTTTTTTTCTTTGTTGATGACAGGCTAAATCATACAGAAATATCTGCTTTTGTGAAAAAGAGAAAACTAAAATGTAATTACGGGTATCATGTTATAGCGAGGGAGGTACAGAATTTATTTAGTCCTTGGATAACCCATAGAGATAGAAAATCTAGAGATATTGTTTCCATGTTTTGTAATTAAATGGACTCTAAGATGTTTTGTATAGATGTTATGATGAGCACAAGCACACATACAGTGCAGCTAGACATTTAGGAAGTTTGTAAGGTCATTCTTCCCATATTCTGAAGTACACATCTGTCTGTCTGTACCCACACACACGTCAGTGACTCTCCTCAATTTCTGCTTGTCCTGTGTTTTAAAACGAGGTTCAGAAAGACAAGCTTTGTTCTCTGAATACATTCAAAAGCTTCATTTCCATTCCTTGCCCTGTGCTCATAAATCTAGTGAGCAAATGCATATCGTGTGGGGGTGCCATCCAGCCCCTCTTTCCAGTAATGAAAACATTGCCTATTTATCTCTAAACAGTAATGTTTACTGGGAAGTTTTTATTTGCAAATTTTGAATGCCATCCATCTCAGGAGTAATTTGTTCATCTGTAGCTCCCCCTCCCTCATTTTTGCCTGTAGGTGCTATTAATTTTCTGCATTATAGCCAGGCAGCCCCATTGACCTCTGCCCCTTTAGACCAGGGACAACACAAATCCATTCTCAATCATGCTGCATGTGACAGGACTGTAAATAAATACCGGCTCTCAATACACTGCCTGGGAAATTAAATGAAGGACTCCAGTGCTCTCTGTCATTGTTGTTAACCAAGAATTTCATATTTATCATAGCAATAACTGATTTTTGGCCATTGTTATTCAATGTATATAGGAACAAATTTGTCAGCTTTTCATAGCAATTAAAACTGAATGGACTTCTTTGGACCACAATTGCAAAGTGCTGTCAGATATAAATCACACATATGTATCAATATAATGTATTATACAGTATGTCATATAAATATACATAATAAGTATTTGCACATACTGTATGTATCTCCTTTCCTATTACATGCTAATTTAGAATTTTGATATGATTCATATCACACATTCTATGTTAAAATTAAATGCACTAAAACTCTTTTGAGCAGTTAGTCGAGGAAACCATCTTTTCAATTGTAAAATAATATGTATTTGTGTTTCCATTTTAGAAAAACAAAATTAGACATGGTTATTTTACCTTATTTTGACCTACCTATTCATATTTAGGTCCTTAAGTAATTTGTGCATTTTAGAAAACATTCAGTGAAGACCAAAGGAAGTACTGTAAGTGCAAGATGTAACGGGAGCCGGTCCAGGCTTCCTGAAGCATAGTTCAGGACCCTATGCAGACAGTATAATCTGGAAGTAAGTGGAGAAGGACAACAGGGAGGAGACAGAGAGGATCAGGATGAACAAAGAAATATGAACCGGGGGTCACAGGTGAAAATTGTGTTGAAGAGGAAGAACAGGAGGCACTCCTCTACCCAAATTGTTCTGGGAGTGAAGGATGGATAAAAGTACCCAGCCATAGTGTTGAAGCCGATACAATGGATTCCTGGATTTCAATGGCTCCTTAAACACAAATCTCTCCATCACAACAGTTTTTCAAAATATCCCTCTACTGTTTCCTTTGCTATAGAAAGGTCTGGCAACAAACTAAATTTAGCAGCAGGTTTAAATGTTTTAATACTAGCATTACAGATTTTATTTAATATTGATTGACTGTGCAATTTTTACAGCACTTTCTTTCCTGGCCTGGTTTGCTGGATCAACCACCTCTTCTTCAAGTTACTCTACAGCGGCAAAGAGGAGCGAATAGGCCGCAGTGACAAGGTCTTCACTTATGAGTGTCTCTTCAAACAGCACGTACAGGATTGGTCTATTCCCATGTAAGATAACTTTAACAACACCCTTCTTTCCAAGAGAATATGGTATCAAACTCCCTGTGCTTTTGAATTTGATTTTAAAAATGATAAGAGAAACTGAGTATACTGGAAAAACACTGCAGATACTGTAACTGTGTTAGATTATATATATGTATACAGTACACACTGTGCTTACTTTAAAATCTCTAACCGTGTTTATTTTACCTGCATTTAAATTATGATTCCAAAACATTTAAAACAGAGCAAATCTTATGTCTTGGTCCATACATCAATCCCAAAGCAGATCTTACATAAAAGAAGGAATAAAGGAATTCCTTCCTAGTGACCTCCTTTTGCTTCTATACCACCATTTCTGATGTAACCACACCCCACTTCACAAACAGGAGGACTGAGTCAACACTTTCTCCTCCAGGGAACAGACTAAAGAGGCTCTGCTGCAGCTGAAGGCCTGGCTGGAGAATAACCCAGACACAGTAGCTCATTTCCCGGTGGAAGTGCGTTTTGCTCGGGGAGACAACATTCTCCTCAGCCCCTGCTTTCAGAGAGACAGCTGCTACATCAACATCATCCTGTACAGGTACAGACCGAGAGTCTCAAAGCCCTAGGGAAAGTGTCTGCTTCACGAGAAAACTTGTGTCATGGAGATATTCAGCATCATAAATAAAATCCTGTTTGAGTATAGATTATATAATTCTGCTCCTCATGAAAATGTCAAGAAACATTTAAAGGTTTAGCGAGGTTTTTATATATTTTTTAAATATATTGAATAGATTCATTTACTTTCAACATTTTACTTTTGTTTTCTGAAAAATTGCCACAAAAAAATGGTTCACTGTATTTTTTTGTAAATCTCTAGGCCTTATGGAAAGGATGTGCCCAAACAGCAGTATTGGGCTGCTTATGAAAACATCATGAAGGATGTAGGAGGAAGGCCTCACTGGGCAAAGGTAACTCTTTGATTTATTGCTCCATTCAAAATGGGATTACAGACTGTCTGTGATTTCAGCGAAGTTGAAATTAGACTGTCACTGCTTAGAACATACTGTACCAAAGCATTTAAGATAGACCATAAAAATGTTACTAAGGAATAAATAACTTGTGTTTGTGTGTGCCCTGTGATGGACGGGCACCCCTTCCAGGGTGTATTGCCTTGCACTCACTGCTTGCCAGGATAGACTCCGGCTCCCCCTTGACCCTGTAGTGTATAAAGAAGATGGATGGTTGGACGTCTTAGTCCATCTATATACAGTACAAAACATCATGTCTTCTGTTTCTCCCTTGAAACACAAAATTTCATTATTGTATTGGAGGCACAAATGGCTATTGTATAAGATTTATTTTATTAGATGTTTTATGATTGTTTGAACTCTTAAACAGTTGAAGATACAGCAGTTCTGTTAGGGTTTCAGTCACTGAGAGTTAAAGTGAAGCAGAACTCATCTGTAGGAGCAGTATTGGTATGTCCTGAAAAAAAATATTAACCCAAATCAAATGATGTTTGTACCAGGCTCACAATTGCACCCGTAAGGATTTTGAGAAGATGTACCCTGGTTTCCAGAAGTTTTGCTCTATCCGGGAGAAGCAGGACCCATCAGGAGTGTTCCTCAACACCTACCTGGAAAATATTTTCTTCTAGTCAAAAATAACACATACTGTATTAATCAAAACAGTGCCTGAGCAAACATGCACTAATATAAACTATATACGTTTTCCACAATCCTTGTTTTAATTACGTAAAAATATAGATTTGCTCAAATAATATTAATAGTGTCAATCACAGTTTTGGAATTTCTAATCCGAAAAAGGTCAGGTTTAATTTGTTATCATTAGTTGTGTGAATCAGAATTTTCTTATAAATCTATAAATTATATAATGTATCAAATAGATCTTATAATGTATAAGTTTATAAATTATACTTCTGTTTAAATTTTTATTTTATTCCACTTTTTCCAACAAATAGTAATTAAAATGTGGTATTTGTGTTTAAGTAAATGATTATTTCATATTTAACAGCAAAAGTTCTTAGTGGATTTCAAGACAATAAGAATTTATTTCAAATATTCACTATATTTCTGATGTGGCAATAATTTTACTAACTGTAAATGAGCTTTGTATTTGCCAGTATATCAAGCATCATAATTAAAATTAGTAATCGGAAGCATTACATTTTCCTGTATTTTTATTTTCCGATTGTTATGATTTCTTGCGTGTTAAAAGGAGAACATTTCAAAACATTTTCCTAATTAATATAATCCATGAAGTAGGGAATACAAAAACGTATATAGTAGCTACTGCTCTTTTACACATTGACATTATTGTCTATTTTCCCTCATTATGTTTGTTCTTTTATATGCTATGATAAAGTAGTTTGTTTTAATGTCCAGAAATACAGAAGTCTTAACTGTTACATAAACTTTAGCACCACTAAAATCTCTTCTATTGAGCTTCATGTATGTGTAGCATATTAAATCTACAAATATTGTACAATACATGCCAGACACAAGAAGGACTGGGTGAAATGCAGAGCTAGTATATGGATAAGGTTTTATTTCAATAAAAAAAAAAAATTATAGCCCCAAGGGATCCCAAAAGGTCTTACATGTAAGAGGGGACCCACTTAATTCACCACTACAGTGCAGCAACCACCTGGGAGACATGTGGAAGCCATAATGTGCCATCAGCCCTACTTCACACCAGATCATGTTGAGAAGTGAGGAGATGATTCACCATTTAAATTATGGGAAAACGTTAGGAATGCCAGATTGCACAAACTGGAGAATTTGGCTAGGACTCTGCTAACCCAAGCAATAACCAAACAGTCAGAACCATGATTTTTTGAGGGGTCTAAACTGAATGATGATAGCACAGTGTCCCAAGTCAATTTACCTGAGCAACTGGCTTTGAAAGTGTGGTCCAGGAGGAAGAGCACCACTACACTGGTCAACCAACATCACTTACAGCAACAGTATAGTTGTCCTTAGAAAACCCTAATACTGATGTTTTCATCCCAATACTGACCAGGCCCAGCTTTGCTTAGCTTCTGAAATCTGAAGAGATCAGGCTACCAAGTGGTGTTCAAGGTGACCAGAATTCTTTACTAGGAGGACACGTGTTGTCTGACCTCTCATGCCTATCTCACATGAACTTGGTGCTGGAAAGTAGCATTCTGCAGACGAAACAGGCAGACCAGTATGTCATGAGCAACAAATTAATTTTTTATTCAGCTAAAACACTCCATCTACCATTCCCATATACAAACTATATTTCTTTTTGAATTTCATTCTGTTTGAATTTAGAATTTAACTTCAGATGTGGAGATTGGAACTAATTTTGGTGCAGGAGATATAGAAATGAAAGTCAGGGAAGCATGGATACCTGGATACTGTTATTCCCAAAGATGTATTTCTTACTGTGCTACAACCACCCAACAAAGAATTAATTCTGCTTGTTTTAATGTTCTGCTTATTTACTACCTAGTGCTTATGTTTCAGTGATTGCAGGTGGAAGCCACCATCATTTAATGTTTAGTTTAGAGTATAGTTTGACTTACAGAATCTGTTCTTTTTTTATTTTTAACATTTATTAAGGCCAGAGGCCTCCAGGGTTTTTAACGTATCTCAGTGTTGGCAAGGTTAATGTAAAGATTGGAATCCTTGTCCTCAAGGGCTGGTGATTCTGCTAGTTTTCATTTCAACTCTGTTCTTAAGCTAAATATGGCCAGCTGCCATGTCACCCTGCAGCTCACAACTGGCAACCTACTGCTGCTGAGCAGGTGTGAGCCTGGTCAGTACCTGGATGAGAGACCTCCTGAGGAAAAACTAAGATTTCTGCTGGAAATGGAGTTAGTGAGGACAGTAGGGGGCATTCACCCTGTGATCTGTGTGTGTCTTAATGCCCCAGTATAGTGACGGAGACACTATACTGTAAAAAGGCGCCGTCTTTCCAATGAGATGTAAAACCGATGTCCTCACTCTCTGTGGTCATTAAAAATCCCAGGTCGTTTCTTGAAAAGTGAAGGGGTGTTACCCTGTGTCCTGGCCAAATTTCCCAGTGGCCTTTAAAAATCATGGCCACTTTATAATCCCCACCTATGAATTGGCTACATCATTCTGCTCTCCTCCCCACTGATAGCTGGTCTATGGTTAGCGTACTGGCACACTTTGGCTCCCATCGCATCATCCAGGTGGATACTGCACATTGGTGGTGGTGGAGGGGAGTCCCCATTACCTGTAAAGAGGTTTGAAGGAAGTATTCAAAAAGCACTATATAAGTATAAGGAATTATTGTAATTATTAAATCATCAGCCTCTGCTCCACCCACCTGTCACTTAGCACTGGTTGCAATGGACACCAATTGACAAGGGGCCTGAATCACCTGAAGGCAATTACTATTTCACCGCTTCAGGTGATTCAGGGCTACCTGTACTCCAACTCTACTCAAGGTTCTGATATAAAGTTTGAGCTCTGAGCTGAGGCTCACTCCCTTTGTTTTGAAGACTGCCGTGTTCTGTATTTTTTTTTTTAATTTTTACTCTGGCTTGTTCCCTCGACCACAATTTCTTCCTGTGCTTCTTTAAAGTTTTCCCTACACAACCTAGCCTAATCTTCTCCAGCTCTTGGACTTTTTGCCTGTTTGGATTAGCCCCCAACTCTTCCCCTGCTGCCACCACAGGGGCACGCCTGCAGCTCTGCGACCGCGGTGAGGCTCCTGTCTGCACAGCTGAATCTCTGAATGTCTGTATGCTTACCTGTCTACACAGCCGCAATCTGAGATTTGATCCCTGCCTGATACACCACCATCCTTTTCCTGCAACTCACCTGGGTCTCATCTGCCTCTTACTCAGCAAGTGGGTTCATCTTATGACTCCTGATCTACTGCTAGTCCCACCAAGGAGTGGGATTGTTGCAACAATTGGAACCAAAATTAAGGAGAATGAATTTAACTAAGAAGATTAATTAATTATAATTTCAAAAACCTCAGAAACACTTCCCACTGTGCAGGATGATGTTTTCCCATTCTTGGGTTAATGTGTGAGGGTCTCTATATAGCCACCCTGAGATCCACACAAGTAGGGGCCATGCTGATCTGGAGTTTTCTTGTTCTGCAACCTACATTATCTAACCATGCATTTTCTTACCGCTTTATCCAATAAGGGGTCACAGGGAAGCCGAAGCCTATCCCGGCAAGTAATGGGCGCAAGGCAGGATATCCCAGTTCAACACAGGACACACACAGACACTTATACCAGGGCTAATTTTCCCAGAAGAGGGTATGTCTTTGGACTGCGGGAGGAAATCAAAGCATCAGGAAGAATCCGAAAAGAAAAAGATGACATACAAACAGCCCGTAATGCTAACCACTGCGCCCGTGTGAAACCAAATTAGTGAACAATTTACTTCAGAACAAGCTTTGAGGGGTATCTTTGACGCCCTCGAGTGGCCAATCTATAGATATTATGATCCTCAAACAGACAATCAACCACCACTGGAAAAAACGGCTTTCTCGTAGTTATACTTTGAGTTACCCTTCCTGATCCATATATATATGTATGTATGTATTTAAAAACAGGCTTTATCTTAATCATTTTAGTCATTTTTTATTACTTGCCACATTGTGCAAATTTAACAATACGTTAACAATGTAAGGCTATGACATACTGTATGTGAGGACGAAACTCCAGGAGTACAAACACATTGAAATTCAACCTTCGAAGTTCAGTCGGTTTTGTTTGGAAAACCAAATTAATCCAAGACATCGTAGCTGTGGAGAATAACGGATCTTTTTTTTTTTTACTTTCTCTTTCTTCCCTCTGTCTAAACAGATGGGTAAAAACGTCATTTCTTCACCCTCCCCAAATGTATCACACATTGAAGGCGCGTCGCTTCAGTCGGACGCAGATTTCAAACATTATCTTGAGCTTTTCAGCAACGTGCGTCAGCTTCGGGTTATATTTGCACGGGGTCGGTGGAATCAGAAGAAAAGGGTTTGACCAGACCGTCCAAAAGCATGACGATAAACGAATTGGATGTAAGTGGCCAACTGTACTTAAAAACAATATTGGCTTGTTTTTTTTAATATTGGAAGAGCTAGTGGTTTGCACAGAGTACATAGTAAATCATGGTTCATAAGTATGTCGTTTAGACTGGCAATATACAGTTTGAACTAGGTGGAATTGATTAAACGTCATTGGTGAGAAGAGCAACACTGAAATACGGAGAATAAGCATTGGTTTAATTATTCTGATCATATTGCATTATCTCGATTAGCTGTAATCTGGCATTTAAAACTCACCGGGTTATTACAAATAGTATTCATGACAAAAGATTTCTTCAGTATTAAAATATTTTGTCGAAACCTATTTTTTTTCTTTTGTCTAAAGAGTATACAGGTGCGATTAAAATATCAGGCACGACATTTCTTACACGTTTCAATAGCTTTTACATCCAGCACTTTATTTTTCTAAAACCAGCAAAATACAGATCAAGTATATTATCGAATGGTCATACTGTGTAATGTGAAACTTTAAACAGGAACTAAAGCATTCATTGTAACGTTATGAAACTGTAAGACGACTCAAAAATTTTTTTTAGTTAATAAAGGTTCAGGAAACAGTCAATTTCTTCTACTTTTATTTTAGTTTTATTTTATTAGTATTATATTTTAGTAGTAGGTCTAAAACAGAACCAAAAATAATGTAGAACAATGGGTAATTTCTGTTTAGTTTATCTGTTTAGAAATAACAAATTGGATTTGAATTATGTACTTTAACAGTATATCCTAAATTCTGATGTGCAGTGATTGGCATAAATTTTCAATGAAACAACTCAGGGGTGGAGTAGTGTTTTCTACATAGATTATACAGATGTTAATACATACAGTAGATGTACCTGTATGTAGAAAAATATAACACTTTTAAATCACAAATTGTAAGAATTGATCAAGAATGAATCATACTGTGAAATACTGTAATACACAGCATGGATAGCACCCTATCCTCACTGATTTATGAAATCACTTATTTTTACAATACTCTTTATTAATAACATTTTTTTTAAGTAGATTGTGGAATTCAGGTGATGAACAGTAACTGAGTCTTCACAGGTTATGGCAATATTGGTGTCTTGACAGACCATTAATATCTGTTGAAGCTTGTGTGTTGTGTTAATAAGTGAACATTACAAAGTTACGATCACTCAAGAATCAAGCATTCAAGTATTGAATGCTTAACGTGTTCTGTATCTTATTTTGCATTGAAAAATACTATATAGTTTTCCATCACAGGAGTAAACACATTGTAACTATGTGTCCAAGTTTTAGATGTGGACTGCCTTTCAGCTCAACAAGTTTTCTTCGCAAGTGACATACTGTATGGGTATTTAATTCATATATCTTTTAAAATACAGTAGGTGGATCTCCTTGATAAATATTAAACATCTTTTAGAGCTGCCTAACTGTTTAAGTCTAGAATTAGAAATTGTACATTCTGTAATAGTACAGTATTTCCTAGGATAGTAATTAATGTATTTATACAGTGTACAATGTACAATGCACAATGTCCTCTAAAAGTATTGATACAACAAAGATCAAACTATGTTGAAACAAAAAGAAAAGAGACATAACGTTTCAGCTAAACATTTTGGCTAAGTCTCCACAGCCAAAACATTGCGTCCCTTTTGTTTTCCTTTCAGCGTGGAATAAACCTTTATCTGCTCCTTTGCAGCCTGTGCATGCTGGTGAAGCTACCTAGTTGAACTAAAGTCAAAACTATTATTTTTAATAGTTTGTACTGTATACAGTATGTGATCAATAGATTAGTATGAAAGATAAGTACAATATACATTTTATTGTTGGGTAATTCCATAAATATGTTTGATTATATTAAAATAAGAACATCAGAAGGTAGAATGTTGTAATAAAATCTTATTTAAAAAATACTTTTGAGCTTTCAAGAGACATAATATACAATACTGCAGGATAGTGGCCTACTGGTTGGCATTGTTGGCTCACCTCTCTGGGACCCTGGGTTCAGTTCCTGGAGTGCTATATGTGTGGACTTTTTATGTTCTCCATTTGTTTCCTTGGGTGTCCTCCCACAGTCCAGAAAAATACTGGTAGGTTAATATGCTTCTGGGAAAACTGGCCCTGGTGTGAGTGTGTGTGTTTATATCTGTGTCCTGCAATGGACTGGCGTCCTGTAAAGGGTGCACCCTGCCTTGCATTCATTGGATTATGGGATAGGCTCTGGTCCCTCACAATGGATGGATAATATAGAATAAATATAATTATAAATTCACAAATCTATACAACCCCCCCCCCCCAAAAAAAAAAAGTTAATTTAAAACAGATTAAAAACTACTATTTTGTTTGATATAATTATTAACCATTTAAAGCCCCTATTTGGGGAAGCAGACAAAAAACTATAATTTTGTGGGGTTTCTTTCAGCATTTGTCTTTCTTCCCACATATCTCAAGGAACAGCCTTTTGATTTGAATTGTTTTCAAATTGCTGCTGCATTCAATTACAGTTTGAAAATAGCTGTGAAAATGAGAGAAGCAGTTAAATGTACTTGTGTTGTTAATTGAAAGATACAGTAATTATGAGTTTGTGAGCATTACAGTAGTGTGTTGTTTGTGATAATATTCTGAAGATGTCCTTTCACTCAGGATCACCCTGACACAACATAATCAAGATCCACTTTTTAACTGCATCTCCTTTTTTACCCACACAAAGCAAATAACCTTTTTCCAGATTTTGAGATGTGAGAAGGATGATAAGCCCAGCAAGTAACAAGTACCCTTTGCATTCCTCTGTTTTATTTGATTGTGAATGCATTTCAATTCTCAGTGCTTTTTTCATTCTTGAAGTGAAATATTGTCTTTGGAGTTACTTTGTCAGTAACTATGAATGCTGTACGCAAAATTGGCTATCAAATGCAATAATAGTTTCCTTTGTTGAGAAAAACATTGTATTGCTCTGGGATTCGCAATTTTTTTATCCTTTTTTACGACACATTTTTGGTGCATGATTTTCAAAATAAAACACAAAATTCTACATTTCTGCACATCCTCAGACACAAGTAAATATGCATTTAGTATTATGAACTAAACATCAAACGTGTGGAATAATAGTTCAACTCTCAAGAATTATAATGTGAGTAAAGAATTTTTATACTCAAAGATACAGTACATTGGCCAAATGTTCTTGATAAGTTTAAACGTCTTCCAGAGCAAATGGGGCAGGGCTGGATTGGTACATGGTGTGACATGGCAGCTTCTTGCTCTATGCAGGGAGTGTCTTGGTGCAAGAGAGAATAAAAAGAGAGTGTTGGCTTGTGTTGCTAAGAAGCTCTGCCAGAGAGTAGTATCACACTGCCTTCTGTCTTTAAAAGTAGTATTTAAAACAGTGTGTGCACATTTGTCTGCTTGGGTCCGGCTGCAGAGAAGTCAGTTTACCTCGGGTATAGCTTGGTTGTGAATAATCTTCGATATGCAGGATAAAGATAAAAAGAGTCCAAATGTCTTATTTCAGAGATCAAGTGAAAATAAGTGGGTTAGCGAACACAAGATTTCTTCTGTTTCAGATGGAATTGGTCAGAATTCTGTACTTTACTCACTCACTCTTCTGACCTTGTGTCTTAGAGAAAAGTTTAATTCCTGACTCGGACTCCATGTACAGTAGTCATGTTTTTGGAAAAGTCAGATTGCCAGTTCAGTTAGAGAGAGATGAGGAGCCAGTAAATTAGCCAATGAAATGAGTAGGGTTCTTGCTTTTAAGGAACGACATCATAAATTATTTATTGGTTAGGATGTAGTAAAGGTTTTTTACTAAACCTTTACTACCTTTACATACTCCTTGAGATCAATTCTGCAATTTAATAGATATAAATATACATCCATTTTCTTACTAATTCTTCCAATCCAGGATTATGGAATAGCCAAGAGCCTATCCTGGCAAGCAACGGGTACAAGGCAAGGTACACCCTGGATTGGATGCCAGCTCATCAGAGGGCACACACAGACACAAATACACACACTCTCACACCAGGGCCAATTTTCCCAGAAGCCAGTTAAACTACCAGTATGTCTTTGGAATTTGGGAGGAAAACGGAGCACCCACATGCAACCCAAGTGAACACATGGAGAACATACAAACTCCTTACGGCACTCACTCACTCTTCTCTAAGACACAAGGTCAGAAGAGTGAGTGAGTAAAGTACAGAATTCTGACCAATTGAACCAAAAGGACCCAGCACTGCATAGCAGAAAAGCTGACCACTGCACCACCATGCTACCCTGGATATAAATACAGTATATAATTTAAATGTGTATTTATGTACTTTAATGTACTATACACTGCTATGTGCATATAGTACTTTGCACTGCACTGCATTTAATTCTATTTCCCAAGTGTTTTCTCAGTTTTTCTTAAAGTTGTCCATCTTCCTTTTTATATGTTTGAAAATGTCAGGTTTAATATTCCAGTACCCAAATCATTGGTATAAAATTGGTAAAGTAGCAAACCTCATATCCTGCTGTACTTCATTAATTACAATGTCCCTACATGAGCTGTCAGTCCTCATCAATGCTCTTTGTTTTTTCACATCAAACAATCTTCAGTAATTGTATACATGAATTTGGATTCCTACTGTATATTTCTCTTTGGGATTTTCATATGGGGCTTCACAAAAGACCTCACATAAAAATTCTGTTCTGTTGATTTCAAATTTCCCTTTTGATTGTTCCAAGAACAAGGTGTTTATATAAGATTTGCTGTTACTCATACCATGAAATCAGTTTTTAAGAGTACCTTTAAGCAAAGCTTGTGTAATGTTTTCACAACTCTGCATATAACAGAAGAGTATTACTGTATACTCACCTTTCTGTGGGTAATGTCTTGATAACTCTATATGTTTTCTTACATTAACAATTTTCAAATTATTGTTTGAAAATTGTTATTTTAGAAAACATGTTGAGTTACCATTGTCAAATTATTGTACATCCCTTGTCTCAAAAGATGTTGAAACATCCTTGTTCCGGGACTATAAATAACATCAATCATTTTCTTTGAGTACATTTGGAAAAAAATGCTGTCAGATACAGACAGTTTGTCTGAAATGCTACTAGGTCCTGCAATATCCTGTACTCTGTCATGTAGATATTGTGCAATACTGAATGGGCACCATATTTAGTACTATAATATATTCATGCTTTTCATTTCTTTTTCCATCTGCAATAAATGTATTGGTGTCTCTTGCATATATTTAAAAAAAATGTTTAAGGGAGTAAGAGATCATAACCTTTTTTAATTGAAAAATTCAAGGGCCTGCATGAGGCATGTTCAATTTTTAATAACAGGACAAAGGACTACTTCAAATCTGCATTGTATGGTATAAATGTTAATGTGTTCTTGTGTCAATCCTTTTAGTTGACCAAGAAGAATCAGACAAATCACACACCTTCAAACAAAACTGTTGTCACAGCAGGGCTCTGGACTTATAGCTGTAACAACCAATTAAGTTATCAACAACTAGTAAACACATAATACTAAAATATTCAATTTCCATTCACAGTTTAATTTTAAAAGATCCTGTTAATTCATGTTGTTCTCTTTTGCACCAGTGACAAGCAAGAAAAACTATGACGAGCAGGCATTTGTAGAATGTATTGAGAATAATTGCATCTACAGATTTCACAATTCCATTCTCACACTAACACCTTTTATTTCCTTTTACTTCCCTCAGAGAAGATGCCTCACATGGACGCCTTAGCAAAGCTTTTACCTCTGTGCAAGTGGAATAGGGAAAGTCAGTTAACAATTTTTGCTGGAACTCCAATTTCCTTTGTGATGAGCCAGTCTCTCAGAGTCTTGAAAACATGCAGTCATGAACATTGACCATTGTTCTGAAAAGCAGCACTGGAAGACAGTGATGTTACCAGGTAGATCCAAGTTAATCCTTCTTCTCAAAATTGTGCAGATTTCTGAAAGAAATGACGGAGAAAAAAGATCTAAAAGCTTTTGCACGTGTGTCAAAGTCCATCTAATGACATGCATCAACTGAAGAACATAATCAATCACTGCTCTGGGAGACAAAAAAGTTATTGGGCCTGAACATCCTTAGACGCTTCATTTGCTGAATATTGAGACAGTTCCTCTTTTTGCTGAAACCTAGAGGTCACTATGGGTTGTGGAGGAAGCAGAACAGACGCTCTTGAACCCAAATACATGGAAAGCTGGACTAAAGAGACTGAGTCAACATGGCTGACCAGCACAGACACAGATGTCCCTCTCTCATCTATTGAGAACATTCCCTCTGAACATTCTTCCGAGTCAGGATTTATCAATGAAGAGAAAATCATCAACACTAGTAGGCACTTTTTAAGTCTTTCAAAATCTTGTATGACGTGTTACCGAGCTATGTTCTTGAAGTCAATTCTGCTGTTTCTTTGCCTGGATGAGATCCTTGGATCAATTAACTGCTAACTACGAAACCTTGCATATATTCGGAAGTTCTAGTAATACTTGAATTCAATGTAAAAATGTTTTAAAATGCAAATGAGCAGTGGGCAGATTAAGTACTACTAAAGTTCAGTGTTCAGGATTTTAAAACATACTATATTGGTGAAGACAAATTCTAAATGCAGTGCAAAATGTGCTCCATGATATCTGAAAAACAAAAACAGACCTGTAAGAATGACAATCCAAAGGATTTAAATTAAATCGCATGTGACAGTCCTCTTTCCAAGCCAAAAGTCTGGAAATGGCAAAATTCTTTCAAAGGGTTTCTACAGGTAAAGGGTTATATCCTATTTTTTTACATAAAAGGTGCAATTTACTCAACAGCTGGAAATAGCAGTGTCAGGGAATGGAGAAGACAGAGAGAACAAAGCCTCAGGAGCCAGACTGGAAGAACACGCAGGAAGCAGATGAATATCAAGTGTTCTTGAAAAAGAGCAGGGTCATTGCCTATGTAATTGGCACAATCTTGAGAGAGCAGGAGGCAGGGCAGACTGAGTATATTCAAAGTGCTGTATATAAATTATAGGGCTCATTTAAACAGAACGGGGTGGACGGGACAGGTTTGTATTTTGAAATGTTTGGCTTAATGTAAAGTTTAGTGCAACATTATTATTATAAATATGGAAGAAGGTACATTATATATCCTACAGTATAATGGCTTTGTGAAACTATTACTTATTAAATGGATAGAAACTCATACTTTGGATGTCAAAAATAGAACTATTGCACCAGATAAGGAAGAGATTAATTCCTTAAACCATTTAGTTACCCAGTAGTAATATGGAAACAATATTGGCATAGACATTAATGTTTTTGCATCACTGAAGCATACAGAGATTCAAATGTTAAAACAAAGGAAAAGGAAAAAGAATCTTTGCCAGGATTTAATCTTACTAATTCACCGTTTCTTTAAGGAAATGCCCCTAAAAGACGTGCCAAGTGTAAAATTATATAAAAATATATGAAAGGTTATGAACAGGAGGAGACCATTCAGCCTTTCAAGCCTGTTAGCAGCTAATTGTTATCAAGGACGTCATCCAATAGGTTTAGTCCATGCTAAAAAGAGAAGAAAGAAAACACAGCGTTTCGGCTGTGGAGCCTTCGTCAAGCTTTCTTTCACACCAGCAATGCTAACCATTGCTCCACCACCCCTCTCAACACCTGATTTAAATTGTGGAATTTCATAGAAACGTTTGCAGTCAAACCAATTCACGTCCACAGTCATTCTTGTTAAATTAATTATTCAACATTTACTTTATCTGGCCGTAGTTTTTTTTTTTTTTTCCATTTTGATTTACGACAGTTTTTACATCTTTACAAACCTATAAACAAAATAACACTAGTGCTTAATACTGATAATTATAATGATTACACTTATTATGATTAAATCAGATGTATGATTCTGCATTGATCAATATTTACCTTTTTCAGTGTATTGCTCACAACAAAAGAATTCATCAGCAGTTGCACAAGATAAAACAGGAACCGCTTAGAACAAACATCTATTTAAGCAAACTGTGCTTTACTGAAAGGCTGCCTTGTTTCAAAAGTCAGATTAGAATGTGTGAATTAAGGTCTTTCAAAAGCTCTTATGGATTGAGAAGACTTCACAAAATGCCTTCGAGCTCTTAAATTTCTTAAATTTTCAGTGGAACAAAGATTTATAAATTGTACAATTTATATTTTAAATAATTGTTGCTATTTATACTAAAAACACACCATATGCAGTAGGTTATCAGTAGGTTTTGCTATAATAGCATCTAGTGAAGACTCAATGACTGTTAATTGCATTTTAGAAGAAGTATGTCATTGTAAAAGGAATACCATGAAAGTTTAACCCTCCAAATAATACTATGAAATGGTCATACCTAGAACTTTCATAATTCATGGTAAAGTATGTATATAACCCTCTCAAAATACACTTAAATCATGTCCAGCCATAGCAAATGTTTTGTATTCTCCACAAGCTGACATTCTGGCATGGTTTGGCTCTTAAGACGAATAAAACAAGCATCACAATACTCCAGTCTAGCTGAGATGAAACCATTATCTAATTTGTCAGCATCAGAGAGTGAAAGATGTTATTTTATTTGAATAATATTTCTAAGATGATCAAATGTATAATATATATATTTTAAATATAACAATACCTGACCTCAATGAAATATGAGAAATATTTAAATAAAGGAGAGGTTTTATTAATGCAATTATGACAGGAGATGTTGCCAAAGAGCTACAGTATTTTTAAGAGCATTTAATTAAATTTTCTGGAGGCAGTGAAGAACATCCTTTAGGAATCTGGCAAGAATGGAATGGACTGCTCATAGCAGATCTTATCAGATTCATAGTCATATTTAATTCTTGGAAACTAGTTAAATAAAAGCAAAGCATTACAGATTCACTCTGCCTGTATGTAATGTTTAAATTTAAATATTTATCTGGAGTTAGACTGAAAACCAAAAAAGAAAAAAATACTTGTTTATCTATTGTAGAAAAAAAAACCCTGGAATTGCTTTTATTTTCTTCAATAAGATCTGGGAAATAAAACTTCTTTCTAGACTATGGCTTCATAAGGAATTATGCAAAAGACTGAAGATTTGTTGTACAAAGAGGATTATATCTGTTAACAGATGAAAAACTTGCAGGTGTTGGTGAAGTTGGGTTAATTAATTCTGAAAATGATTTTTCTGTTTGATGATTAATTACATGCCTTTTGACAAGCAAAGGATGCTTCTCCTTGGGGCTTATAAAAAACTCAGAAAATAAAATGTGGCAAAATTAATTTGCATAAAAACCTTGCCCTAATATTATTAATAAGGATCATGTGCATTACATAGTGCTCTTCATCTCAAAGATCCCCAGAGTACCTGGGTGATGTGCAGCTGTCATTGTGCGTTTGCAGCAAATCTGAAGGTAGGGGAGTGAAAAATTGCATTGCCAGTTGACAATTGCCAATTGCCAGAACCCTACTAATTAAAGAGCCCTTTTGTCACTTTCATTATAAATGTATAAATTATCCTGTAAATGAACACATAAGACCTGGCATTAACATTAACAATGCATAATGCAAATGTAGGAATGATAAAAACTGCTTTTTGATGAAGACGGAATTACATTTTTTGAAAAATTAAATTTCAATTATTTTTTTGGTCTTATTACATGTATGCTGTGAAATAGACTACATAATGAAGAAACTGGGTAATGAGAAGAGATTTGTTATCTCTGTATTTGTCATTGTTCACTTTTTACAAGAGGTAACTGTAAAAGATTAAAATATATCTCAGGTGTGTAGAATATCTTATTCAGGTAGTGTCAAATTTAAGAGCAGATGGTCAAGTGGCTGCATTTGCAAGCATTAAATACTTGTGTCTGATTTACAGCCAAATAACAATAATATGAAAATCACCTAGTATAGTTTATTACTGAACCCTATTAATTTACTGTAAGAAACCTAAGTATCTTTGAGGAGAGGATGATAATAGAGCTGGTGTCTTTTGACAAGCTTTCCCTAAGAGATTCTCATTCCCATGGTTACAGCTACAGCAGTTTAGTTGCTAGGGATACAGGAGATGTAGGACATAGTCTAACCCCTTTGTAAAACCTTTTCAAACTGAAATGCCAGTCTCAAATGTATCGCTTTCAAGATGCAGTGGGCATCTTTTGATATGGAGCTTACATTTCAAAACAGGATGCCCGTAAGCAGAGCCCCAATACGAAGCAGTAAATTCTAGGTCAAAGCCATGCTCTAATAATTTAGATAATTCAATTAATTTAATATTAAATTAAATAATTTAATAAATAATTCCTCTGTATTTTTGTGTGTATTGTATGTAGTATATATCATCTCCAAATGAACAACATGTGGAGTGTGTTGTGCTTTTCAGAGAAGCAATGAAAACAATTATGAGTAATTTATTGCAATTTGAAGACTACATTGTAAAGCTAACAGGGCAGACCATCCTTCTACTGCCCTCGATTTATAATACACTGTTCAACTGTTACATTTTTCTGCAGTGAGTGCTTGAGGAGCAATGCTTTACTATCATATTGAACACAAACACAGGTCAAAGTTGAGTGTTTGTAGTGGTTGGAAGGGGAAGGTTGATACGTAGGCTTTATAAACCACCAGCTTAGGTTTATTTTGTACAGTAAGTGCTGAAAAAACAAAAATTGAGGAGAAGGATAATATATTGAAGATAATTCAGAATTAATTTGTCCTTACAACCTCATATTTCGATTATTGTACAGTATGTAAGATTTCACAATTTCACATTAATTCTAGTTTGCACAATAATATTTTCTCATGATTACATTGATCAACCTTACCATGGTCTGATGATTTGAGTTTTGAGCTATGCCACATAGGAACACAAGACTTTTTTTTAATAGATTTTTTAAATAGATTTAGGCCACTAAATAAGTTATAGAATTCTTCATGACCTAGGAATAAAAAATTAATTAAACGTCAATTCCTTTAAACAATTTAAAATATTCACATACATTTTTAAAGAAAAAAAATTTCATTGTCCAAATATAAGGCTGAAAGAAGTTTGTGTGTGATTTCCGGTAACCATTAATTAGTAAACTGCAGAAACTTTCTCTTTTTTCCCTGGCTGTAGTTATCTTTGGCGATGGGATTCCAAGTTCAGCTCAAGCCTACCTGAAGGTCTGCTCCACTATGTCTGACCCTAGCCTGAATGATGGAAAGCCTAGCAGCGACAGTGCAGTGTCCTCTAACAAACAGCAGGGGGCGCTACCATCCTCTGACACCACAGTACAGAAGAGGAGTGTCCTTCGTACAGAGGAGGTGAGCTTCTAGTTTCCTGCCATCATAAATCAGGTCCCCCGGGCCTTAACAGTAGAATTGTTGAATTTTTCCACAGTGTCTTGACACTCGTGGTACTGTATGTCTGTAGCATAACTGACTGCATGAGGTGCTACAACACTCACAAGGCCAAGCCAGTATAAATACAACACTGTGCTTGATGTTTTGTACAGGTGTGTTTTAGCACTAAGCCAAGTCATCAAAACCTAAACAAACGTGGCATCTTCATCAAGAAATTATTTAAAATACTGTTACTTATAACTAATATATTATAACGATTTTTATTATTAAAATACTCGTTATTAGGCCATATGTTAGAAATATCGTTTTCTGAAACAGGTCTGTGGACATACTAGGTCAGTAGTTATTATCTCACATTTTTAAGGGCAAAGTTCAGCAGATTTTATAAGTCTAAATCATTTTCTGCTTAAGACCTGGGGAAACATTACTAATTAAATTAAGAAAAAATGGTTCAAATAGCTGAGATAAAACTAATTTGACATTAAACCTAGAAAAGTCTTAAGGTTCAGAGTAGAAATCCTGAATACTAGATCAAAGACTTATTGATTAAAGTGTTTTTCCACTGCTCATTTCTACAGTTCTAGTATTATCTAGTGGCTGCTCTTTACTTTTATGTACAGTGCAATATCAAACACACATTTTCATAGTCTGCAAGGTCAAACAAATGTATCCAACTAAATCCAAAAATAAATTAAAAGACATTTCCAATATTTTCAACATTTTCATATCCTTTAAACAGTTTAACCTGAACCACACCCAAATGTCTACACTGATTTGTCACATCAAACAAAAAGATACATCCTCTTTTTTGAGTTTGCAACTTTCTGAATCGTGGTGAAATATTTATCTTTCCAGACCAAATGGCAGGCCAACAGAATGTCAACGAAGCAGGTGACTATAACAGTGACTCAGAGCATAAGACAGATAGACAAGACAGGGAAGATCACAGAGAAAACCCACACCACCTTTGAGGTGATGAAGCCTGGGGACCCGCTCAAAGAAGGGACCGGCAGCAATGTGCTGAAGTGAAAAACAAATTCTCCTCACAGCAGACAAGCTTGCTGTGGAAACACCTGCTGCCCAGCATCTTGTAGATGTGTCACTGCTGATTCCACACATACAGGTGGTGGGTTTAGTAGGCATGTGCGTCTGCCATAGATTGGCATGGTCTCCTTCCAGTTCAGCTTCCTTCATATCCCGGGTGTTTACAGGAAGAATGCAATTAAATCAAAGCACAGTAAGAGCAATTTAACCAATACACATGGGAAAGAAGGTCTGGGATTAATACTGTAGCATAATAAGTCTTGCTGCAAACAGTTTCTCTGGTGTGCATTTCAATAATTAAAAAAAAAATCAATATATTTATAAAGCACGTTTCAGCTCAAAGGTTCCCAAAGTACTTTACAGTGACGATGCATGGCATCATCACTAGCAGTCCCACTAATATAATTGTTTCGATGTAGTAAAAAGAGAGCAATTGTCAGTCGATTGATGCTTCAGATTGGAAATCAGGATGAAATGCAGTGCACGAGGAGACAAAAAAAAATGGATGATATATATTACATGTCATTACAAAACTGTTCAGCAGGGTCACAAAATCTGAAAATCTGCTTATTTGCGCTTCAGTCTGGCCAACAAAGTCTTTTGCCGAAGAAGAGCAGAGTGGGATGAAACTGAGCTGAAGTTTTTTATCCGCAGCTGTATTGCCTTATTCCAGTGCGACGTGATAATCACGGATACAGAGAGAGAAAGTTCAGACTTGACGCAGAGGGCGATGTTGTTTGCTGGTTACCTGAAGTCTGTGATTACTGTTGTTTCTTTTAGTTTATCAATCTTATATAAATAAACTTAAAGCCAGTGCATTAGCACTTTATCACGTAAGGAAGGGTTACTTACTGTACGTGTTTTAACCAGTCATTCTGTAAACTTTAGTACCTTATGCTATGGTATACAGGTGGGCTTGGTTATATGCAAATTTGGCAATTCAAATGTTTCTCTGCACTGAATGCTGGCAAACGCTGGAATGTCAAGACCCAACGGTATTTCCAAATTTGATCACATTAGTCGCATCGCTGAAATGTCTTTTCAGCCCTCTCTTATAGTCCTCTCCATTCTGTGTGGAGTACATGCCTACCAAATAATATCACTGCACTGGGCCTGAGGGACAGTGGAACGTCACTCATGGTACTTTATCACCATGCTAATGTGCTTCTAATTTTTCTTCTCAGAATTTTGGCAAGACATCTAAATGCATTTCACTTGCAGATTCCCAGGTATCTGAGAAAAAATATTTAAAGGAACAGGTAACTAATGGGTCATTGTACCCTAGATCAATAAAGTCCAGAGCATTAGATTGTAGAAGAAATAAGTATAACATTCTCCAAGATTAATGTGTGATGAAATCATTTTTTTTCTTGAAATAAAGACTGCTTATTTTCCTGCCTTGAAATACAAGAAAATAACATAATAGCACAAACAGCTCTATAACAAATTAGAAACAAGGTAAACTGTAAATATAGTAGTCATGGACTTCCCTCTAATTACAAAAAGTTTAAGTAAACAAACACTTTTAGAAATATGTTCAGGTGGGTAGCTGCCGAAGAAGGCTCCACGGCCGAAATGTTGTGTTCTCTTTCTTCTTTTTTTCAGCATGGAATAAACCTATTACTTGTACTTTTAGAAATATGCTGAGGCTGGTATTAAGACACCTGTGACCTGAACAGTCAGTTCACTCAGTTTTAATACTGTATACTTTATAAATGACTTCTGTATAATATAATGCACAGTTGCAGTATTATATTGAAGTATGTCATTGATAATAATAATAATAATAGTAGTTGTTGTTGTTAACACTATATAGTTCTTTTCTGGACACTCCACTCAAAGCGCTTTACAAGTAATGGGGACTCCACTCCACCACCACCAATGTCCAGCCCCACCTGGGTGATACAGTGATATTCACTACATCAGCCATTCTTTATGAATACACATTGAAATGACAAAGATGCAATAATGATCATTATAAAGTTAAGGGGAGCCATTTTATCCGTAAAACAGATTGTTATAAAAGAGACGAGAGGAGGAACTATGTGAATAAAATGTTGAGCACAAATAATTGAGTGGCACATGATTTCTATATGTATAATAACAGACACAATAACGAAAAAGCTGAAAAAAGGTATATAACACAAAAATCTGCTCTTTCCAGACACAACACATTATTTTGCCAGAGCCTGTATTATCTGCACTGTGAATTGAACAACTAAGGAATAACAGTGAAAAGAGTAATGCTGCTATCGAGTGAATTCAAACTATTTAGACTTATACAAACTTTGATGACCCTTACATAAAATTACTCTAATATGAGGAAAGCAACATGAAGTGTAGGAATACTGCGAAATCAAGTTAAAATAGTAAAGCATAATGAAAACCAATAGCAAAGAAAGGTAAATATATTGTACAATGTACAGGAATAGTACAATAAATTTCTGGTAATATATTAACCATTGTAAGTTTCATGAAGGGAACCAAATTGTATTTTCAATATTCATTATTTCAGTACTTATCAAGTTATCTGATGTTGTAATAACAGCAGGTTTGTAAGTATATTGTTGCTCTTGTCTGTCATTATAGGGCTTTAAAGATACTGGTGCCAAAAGAAAAAAAACACTAGATACTTGTGATGTCAATAAGGGTTCGAAAAAATGTCAAGACATATACTGTGGAAGTACACCAGTTTGTATTAATGCCACTGCTCTTTCTTATGAATCAATGGCTATGTCATTTGTTGTATTGTGTTTGTTTAGTAAAGTTGTAAATTGTCTTCTTAAATAGTATAGGATATTATTAAATTTAAATCATGGTGAATGCCCTGATGCAAACACTTAGTTGTGGTGACTAGATTTCACACTAAAAACTACTATAATAAGTTGTATCCTGTTAGGATTTGTTTTAATTTTTTTAATTGAACATACACTCATGTTCGACTGTAATAAGTTTGATAACAATAATATATGTAAGGAAATTCTTTGTTCCTTTGTTCTTAAAATTATTTTAGTTCCTTTGACCCAGACAGAAATAGAAGCTAAGAGTAAACACTACATTAGCAAGAAACCAGCTTAGATGGAATAGAAGGTATTTCTTTGTATAGATAAACCAAGTTATTGTTTCTAAATATCTTGTTTCTGGATATTTAGTGTTATATATACAGTCTCATATAATGTGTTATGTTTCTTTTGTAACAGTTGGTCCTGTTCACTGCGACTCATGAAATGTCTCAAAGTAAAATGTGTAATGATAACAGGGAAAATAAAGTTACAGTATATTCACGTATGATGTAACAAGGTGGGTAGCTGCGTCAGCATGCGTAGGCTGCAAAGGAACAAGTAATAGGTTTATTCCATGCTGAAAAAAAGAAGAAAGAGAACACAACGTTTCGGCCGTGGAGCCTTCTTCAGGTGTCACACCTGAAGAAGGCTCCACGGCCGAAACGTTGTGTTCTCTTTCTTCTTTTTTTCAGCATGGAATAAACCTATTACTTGTTCCTATGATGTAACAAGCAGAGGATAATTGCACATTGGGAATAAAGTTTGGGTAATGGGACCTTTTGTATGAAGTGTAGTGCTTTAATAAAATTCTTGCCTTGATATGTTGGTCTGCTTCAGTCTGTATTCTTCAGTGTATGTGACTCTTCAATTGTGTGACTGACTGATATGCCTGTTGGAATGTTCTAGGTCTCAAAGGAATGTCCTAGAGTGACAGGTGTGAATCTTTTTAGTCCTGAACAGAAAAGGCAACAAGCCTTTTGAATACAAGGGTTCAAAATGCTCAAAGTTACAGACACAAAGTAGCAGATCTATTCAAAGTGACCAGTAAAACAGGAACCAGAGGACACAGGTGGAGACTACACAAAGTGCATGTAATAAAGAAAACAGGAAGCTCTTCTTTACACATTGACTGGTTGTAGTATGGAACAAGCCACCCAGCCATTATTATAAAGCTAGTTTCCTTGGTGAAACACCTACTGTAGATGAGGTACTTGCAAAACTTGAAACATGAAAAACAACTGAAAAAAAGTTTCATATCATTTTTAACCATTCTTATGTTGGTATGTAATGTCATTAAACATAGCACTTTGTGCTATCTCCCAGAATTAAGGTATTTCAAATATCAAGTAATCATAATTTCATGAATACTCATATTTCTTCGAGAAACAAAAAAGACGTCAATTCTCATGTAAAGTCCTTAATAAATCAGCTAATTTTATAAAAAGTAGCCAGTGTTAGTGTTATACAGTATTAACTAGTGTACTTAATTTTGTATAAGTAGAGAATATGCAGAAGACAAGGAGTATTACATTTCACCTAGTGGACAGCAATTCTTTAAATACTAAATAAAAAATCTTTTAAAAATAAAAAGGAAAACTTTTTTTTTATTCTGGGGATCAGTTTAATTGTTTATATCTGATCATTTATTGGAAATTCAAAGCACAACTGGGTGAATCATTTTTTTATGTCTGTTACATTAAACTAGAATATTAACAATAAAGAATTCTGCTCTCTTTTCCCATTGGTTGTAATTCAAAGGACGAAGCATTTGGCAAAATAAAAATCACAGAGTTACCTTTAAATATTTTATTTAAACATTTTATATCAAGCAGCCATTATTAGAAAATATTCCCAAGATTTCAAGGCATCTTAATAGTACATACTGTAAAATAACATCACCAGATACTCCCTTTGAAATAAAAACAAATCCTGCTTGTATAAACAGGGTAAATAAACGTATTTTCTCATTCATACCTTGGAGCACAATATTAAAGGCACCTATATAAATCTTTCATAAATTAATTCTTCCAATTCAATTTCAAACTGAACAGATCAGAAGAGAAGAGAAAAAATTCAAAAGGATAATTATGATTTTACAAGGCTTGTTTCTTGCTGTTTATGAACAGTTTGCAAAAAGACAGAATAATACATGAGTACGTATGACAATTGGTGCCTTTACCATAATAAACACATATATAAAAATGAGCATTACAAATGTAATGTAGGAAAACACTTTTGCTAAACACTAGCCTAATAATGAATTAATCCAAGCCAAGAAATTCATTATCACACACGCAGATGTGTTTAAAGTAGAAAAGCAGGGATTAAGCAGAAATAATGAAAGAGTTAACTGAATGCTTGCTTGCATTCAGTTAGTCAGTCTTCTAGCTAGACCATGTCCTTACTATTTACAATTCTGCAGATGTGCAATATTAATTTTACATTGCTACAAAAATCAATACTTAAAAAAATACAGTTCATAGACAGATATATCAACACATTTTTGCACAGCAATTTGCAGTCTGTTGGTAAATTGACCTTTCTAATATCAAACCTCTTTTTTGAGAACATGAATCTGTTTCTCCTTATCATAAACTACATGTCCAGCCCTGACCAATGGCTCCTCCTTCTCAGTCCATTCCTTCATATTGAACTCTGGGAAGAAAAAAGCTATCTCTCTGCTGGCAGACTGCGCAGAATCTGAGGGTATACAAACACATTTAAACTGTGAACACAAGTATTTCATTTAACACAGTTCTTTCACTACTCATATGGCATTTTTAACAAAATAATATAACTCTAGAATCTTGTTTTTTACAGATGGACAGAACCATTGTCATTTCATTGTCAAAACAAGTCACTTTATCATAGCTGAGCTATAATCTGTGTAGTACAGTTAAATGTTTCACACTCAATTAGACAAAAGTCTATTTCAGCCTACAAATAAACCCTTTCTCCTTTTAAGGGCTTGTAATAGGAGCTGATATCAACAAAAAACACATAACTAAAGGCGAAGGATACATTCTTTATATAAAAATATTTAACTTGTCTAAAAAGTAAATAGTAAAGCAACTGTTCTTTTTTATCAACACAGACTAATAAATGTGGCATGATTCATATTTCCTTCCTAGATATTTTAAATGTAGCACCTCTTTCTTTATCTTGTAAAATGTTTGACTTAAACAGCCATTAAGTTTTCAAAGGATGTAAAAAGATTTATAAAATACTTTAAAAACAATTACTATAACATGTCTTATTACATTTTAATATCATGCATCTAAATAACTGTAACTCCCAAATGACATCAGAAAGACTGTTTAGATATTAAGAATTTGTTGCACTCCTGCTACATTTTAAAGGAAAAAAAAAACAACCTGGTTGGAAAAAAACAGCAGTGTGTCATAGGATTGTAAAATGTCTCACTGGTAGAAAAACATTTTTGTTACTTCTGTATTCTAGACTGCAAACAAAATACCTCGAAGACAGCACACATCCTGTTAAAATAAATTGAGCAGAATCAGCCCTGGAACACACAGTATGTATTCCATTCGGCATTTGATTTTCTAAAACCTTCATGCTGCTTTGTAAAGCAGCTCATGTTTGTACACGCTCTATTTGAGATTTATAGATAATCTTGTTTAGGCACAGTGTGCAGGTTCTCCCAGAAGAAATTTCTTCATACAAAGCAATGTGACTAAACATAAAAGAGTGCACCACATCATGTATTTGCATTGCAGCGAAAAGATTCACCGTTTGTTGAAGTTTGGGAAAAGAGCCTTTTCTTTGGATGACTAACTGAAGTCTTGTCAAGGCAACAACAGGAATACTGTGATAGGTCCATAGCTGGTTTTCATCTTGGAGGTCACAACTGCAGGGAATTATTGTAGCCGTGAGTCACCCTAATCAAATGGGCTCTCTAAACTCTCTGGAGAAGCAGAAAAGCCCTCTGAAAACAGAAGTCTGTGTCATAAGGTTCTCCTGATCCCACAGAAAGCGGCCTGTTGGGTGTCTGTGTTTGTGTTCACCAGGGAAGCAGCATGGTTGGGCATCCCAGGGCTGCTGGCCGCAGCCGGGAAAGGGTCCGAGTTCCTGTGTGTTGTGTGACTGAGGACACTGGGAAGGTGACATGGTAGAGCAGTAGATGTAGCCGTCAGCTGAAGGTGCTGGTGTCTGAGAGAAAGGTGACATGGCAGAGAGACAGGAAAGCTGTGAGCTAATTAATTAATGCAGCAGAAGTCCATGCCATCCACTGAGGCTCTGGCTACCCTTATGTAGCAGCAGACGCTAACGGCTGCAGTCACCAGAGAAGCAGCAGGTGTGGACAGCAGACGTGACTGGGATAATTAAAAACTGTGCAACAAGTATTTGTGTCTGTAGACAAAAAACAAACAAAAAACACAGACACAAAACGGACAGAAGGAAGACCTGGTGTCCTGTCGGACATCAACCTGCCTGGTCACGTCCGAAGACGAGTGAGGAGTGACAGGTGAGTGAGAAGAGTGAAAGAAACCTGGAGTGCTTGTGTATAATGAGAACATTACCTTAATTATATCGTGGATTGCAATTTGAGAATGGAATTAATGTGATGATGTGAACGTAATATTGCGATTGTGAGACTGGAGAGCAGGAGATGCAGCCTTTATTCTCTAAGCTCTGGTGGAACAGGGACTGCCAGATAAACAATAGAGGACCTTTGTAAAATAACAGTAATGAGTCTGTATGACTAATGTGCTTTTTAGGTGTGACTGTTCCTTCTCATTGTGACTGATCAAGTCTCATGTTACTTCCAATGGTCAAGGTGCAGCATGCTTTGTTTGCAGGTCTGAGTGCAGCCAAAAAGCTTTCATGAAGCTAAATGGAGACTTGGTTAGATTCATTTGCAGAAAATGCTCTTTTGGTAAGTAGAAGTAAATAACATTTAGTCCATGATCTCATCTTCCAGATGTGTCTTTTCTGTCCTTTCCCCTTTTTTCCATCTTGGAAGTTGCAATTTTTGACATTTTTGTTTTGTATTTTGATTAATTATATTTGCAAAATTAAAAAAAAGACCATATATTAAAAAAACAACAGTAGTGATAAAACAGTAATGATAAAAGTGCAAAAACAGAAAAAAACAGATAGTATGTAGGTGTTTTTTCAAAATCACTCAAAGGCATGGACTTCCTGGCAATAATGAAACAAGAGGACAAGCATTTTAAAACTCATTTAACATTTAGGTCTACTTCACTTTCCAAGGATTAAACATTATTATAGTGTGAATATTACCTGAGCCATGTGTAGTATTCCTGGTATCTGTCAGTCCATACACACCCCGAATGGATGTAGGTGCTGTATATCGAGCTCTAAAAACTTTAGTGGGTCCCATCAGCTCCCTCCACTGAGAAATTGCATTTTCTCTGGCCAAGATATAAGCCCGCATTGGGCCACTGTAATAAGGATGATAAAAGTACTAAAACAGGCTGGCTGAAACAAGTACATTTAAAATGATGTAGTAAAGAAACTAAACTCAAAATGTTACAAAAAATAAAATTTCATGTACTGCTCCATTGTTTTTTTTTTGTTTTTTTTTCATTAATTCCAGTGTGTAACACCTTGATACAGTCTTACAAACTGCAAGGTACAGCTTCACCCTAATTTAATATGACAACAGGTAAGGTGTAATATTGTGCTCAGACAAAGAGTAAACCAAATAACATACTGTACGTGTCAGTTTAGCCAGATATTTAATATTTTTGATTTATTCTTAACTTGTTCACATAACGTTTAAGGCACCTTTTCACTCAGCCTCCACGAGTCTTAATACAGAGACATGTTCCTGGACCCTGTTGCCTTGGTTACAGGTCCTAACTGTCATCACACAGATCTCACTTCCATGAATCTCAGATAGGAGGGACATATGGGGCTTTGGAATTGTTAATCGAAGTGCCCATTAAAGAAAGCCCTGACAAAAATGTGGAAAAATTCATTCACAATTTGAGAACTAAGCAGTGAGGTACTGTGACATTTTATTACATTTTATATAAAAAATTACAAATAGTATATTAAAAATAGTTTAATAGCTAAATTTGTTTATTTCACATTTCAAAGCATTTTCATTTGATCATTTTTTCTTGTTTTCTTGTCAACATACTCTATGTCTGAAAGCATTGAAAGACATGCATACTAAATGTTTGTCACATAGTAATAACAGACCTTCATAAGATGTTTTTCATTAATAGTTTTTCACAAATACAGAGATTAGAAAAATTATATGGTTTACAGAAGTTTCAGGTGTATAAATCACAGAAATAGGATTTTCCCATGAAGAAAACTCAGATCCAGTTTTACAAACATCACTCTGGTGAAGTGGGATTCACATTTATGGAATATATCCAACAATATTATTATTTACCCACATAGGGGAAGGTAGTAAAGTAATTGTGGGGGTGTTAAGACAGGATGAAGCAGACTTGTATTAACAGCTTCAGCAACTAATCTCCTTCCACAAGGTGTTAAGAGTAGAAGTAATCACATATCAAAGGATATTACAAACATCAAAACAACAGATCAAACACTCAAAGGTGTGAAACAACCTTCTTTCCGAGCCTGTACTGTATATATATATACATGTTGGGAAACCATTATGGTGTGTCTGCCTTGCATCCAAGTGCTGTACTTATTGAGCTCAAGAAAACTGAATTTGCACAAGAATTTGTGTCTTGCTCTTCTGATGAAGAATCACAAGTTAAACTTTCCAAATTGCTTTATCATTATCATATCATTGCAATCGTTATCATTTTATGTGAATAAATATTTCTTTAAGCAGACAAAAGTAAAGAAATCCCTATACAAAGCAAATGTAGTGTTGAATGCACTAGTTTTTTTAATCCTCTGTAGCTTTAGTTTGTTCTTTGGCTACAACCTGAAGCTTTTTATGTGTCATACGTGCTCAAAATGTGTTTTTACACAGCTTTTGGCTTGATCACTGTATTCCAGTACCTGCTTTGCTGCTTAATATCAAAGTCTAAAAAACTCTATGTATGAGAAGTACATATTCCTTATCAAATGTTCACATTTCAAGTTTTTATGACTAAATCCAATCCAATTTATGCATGTGATCACTCAGAGTAGATAAGCAGAGATTACAGAGTTCTCGTTAGACAATAAAAACAGCATCATTATATCCAGATGTTTAATGATTTGCATATGTGTAAGCACATAGTGTACTTATCTGTGTGTGCAGAAGCCGGAGAGAGACGGGGATGGTGGTTACCAAGTTTTCATGGTTCAATTGCTGAGCAGCACACCTGAATTGCAGCACTGAGATTCAGGCCAATACTTCTAAAACCTCTCAGTTGCAAGACAGAAGGAAATACACTATCTACCAGTTAGTTTCATTCCAAGAATGAAAATACATTCTCTGCTGTATACTTTCTAGTTTCACTTAAAAGATTACCTTGACATAAATTCAACCAGCCTTTGGTAGAAGAATCTTCCTGTAATAAAGATAAAAATCATATGAATATACAGTATTTTATAAAAATATGGTATCTTTATTGACTTTATTGACTAATTTTTCTTCATTTTTAATATAATGAACAATAATGCTTCTTCTGGAGTCAACATGTGTTGAATGTTTATGAAGTACCAGCAACAGGAAGCATAAAATATAGGACTTTAATATGCTACTTCACACACTGCATTCAAAGGTTCTGTTCAACAAGGGAAAATAGGTCTCCATTTATTATTAATCAAAATATCAACTAAATGTCTTTTTTGTATGCATTAAATTATTCAGCATTATACTAGAATAGATAGCATCTCAGTACATTATTGCAGAAACACATACACTCACATAAAACAACTGGAAAACTGCACTAAAATAATTGAACACAACTGCTAAACTCTAGAAATACACCCTTTAAGTTTTCTTTATGGAAAAATCGACAAAAGAATTACATAATATATTTGTTTGCGAAACTAGTCTGTTAGTCAGAGGTAATGCTTGGTAGTGCTAATAGGGTACAGAGCTTCGGGTACCCCACCTCACCGAAGAGAAAGCCTGCAGACAAACTATTCATGTTCTGTTCCCATCAGTATTCGAAGCAGGAGCTGGTCTCAGCAAAGGGTATTTCATCTAAGAAACATGTGGGGGCTGCATACATTTAAACCGCAGCTCTGACCACAATGCCTGATAGCTCAGAAATCTTCAACCACCTAAAACAGAATACCTGAAAGCCTTAGAGGATGCTCATCACCTTACAATAAAACACCTGAAGAAGGCTCCACAGCCAAAACATTGTTTCTTTTCTTCTCTTTTCAGCATGGAATAAACCTTTACTTGTTCCTTTACAATAAAACACAGATTTAGAAATTATTATTCAATCAAGTTACTCTGTCTTAAGTGATTTATAGAATGAACCAAGTAGTGCTGGCATTTAATATAATACCCCAGTCCTTGAATGAAAGATCTACTGTAACAGAGGCTCAAACCCCAAATAATGAAAATGAAAAATTGCCTCTGGGAACACTGCTGCATTTATCACTGTTACACTTTCAGTTGCAAGATCAGGACTTCAATCTGGGAAGGAAGCAGCAAGAAAACCTGCAGGGTAAAGACAGAAAAGTTCCTCATACAGACATGACATCATTCATTCATTCATTCATTCATTCATTCATTCATTCATTCATTCATTCATTTTTAGGTGGTAGGTAGAAAAAAATAGATTTTTGATGAAGCTAGAGATTTTGGTTCCTTGATAAGAAAAAATGAAGTCGGCATACAAATAACTCTTCTGTTTTTAACTGTTGTCATTGTCAAGCATCGTCTTTCTGCTGCTTAGCCTGTGGACTTGAACTCCTGGTCTCCTGTGAGCAGCAGTGACTGTCCTGCTGTCCTTGACCTCCAAGGGACCCCTGTTCTCTCAGCCAACAGCACAAACCTCTAAAACAACTCTACAAACCGGCCTTCAGACAGAGCTCCTACTTGCCATGAATATTTTAATAGAAACCTGGCTTTATTAGTATGTTAATGAGTTGCTAATGTGCTCTTCTGCTATAATCATTCATTTCCTACTGTGGTAAAAGAAGATGTTCTCTACATTGTGTTCACAGTGGCAAACACATCTTTATGACATTAACCAAGAAAAGAATATCTGTCCTAATGATCTGCCTTAGTTAATGAGTCAAATTATAGTTCTATCTACCTGTATTGCCATGTGCTTTGTGTATAAAGCGAACAGCACATAACAAATGTTATTAAAAACTTCTACTCATGTCTTTTCATGAAATACTAGAACATTGCTTCCAATAATTTTACACTTTAAGGTAGGACTGCACAACTCTAATCCTAAACACCACAGTCTAGAAGTTTTAAATGTCTCTTTACATCTTCTGTACCTATTGTACCAACAGAAGAGTAACATATACATATTGAATTACTTATACCAGTCTACATATTTGAAGAATAACATATACATATTGATTTACTTATACCAGTCTACATATTTGAAGAATAACATATAAATACTGAATTACTTATACCAGTCTACACGTTTGAAGAGTAACATATAAATATTGAATTACTTATACCAGTCTACACATCTGATTTCATATCATCCTGTGATGCCTGTGCATGTTTTCATATTTGGGAGCTCAATTTTGAATGACCAGAAAACAAATTCAATAAGCAAAACAGATCATTTTGACAATACAGCAGCAACACAAATATAACAGGTGTATTATGTGGGACAACGTATTGTTGTTCACATACAATTGTATGAAAGTTAGGCACCCCTGGTCAAATTGCACGTTTCACTGCTTTTCTAAATGAAAATAAGTTCTGCATTGTACAAACTTTAACTTGATATATTCCTGCACATCTTAATGCACAATTACTATTTATTTGCTGAATATAATAGATTGAACAAAAATAAATAACAGAATGTGGCATATTAAAAAGTTTGGGTACCATTCCAGTTGATTCATTAATACTTTTTTTAAGGCCTCAAAACTTATTGACTCTTAAGGCATTGAATTAAGCCAGGTGAAGACAATTCAAGAGTTGAATAAATACTCTGACCCTCCTAACCTCTCAGGATGTTGTGCCTTCTCTAAACAATCATGGGCTCCTCTAAACAACTGACTGAGGACTTGAAAATTAAGATAATTGACTTTTACAAAGCAAGGGAAGGTTTCTATACAAACAAATCTAAATGCTTCCAGCTTGGACTTTCCACTGTCAGAAACACCATTACGAAATGGTAGATAAGGGAAACTGCTGAAGTCAAAACAAGATCTGGAAGCAGATTCCTAAATTCCTAAAGCAAGAATAGAAAGACTCTAAGCAGGCTACGAGAAGTTGCGATTCCTGCCAAAGGAGGTGTTACTAAGTACTGACTGACAGGTTGTTCAAACTGTTGCACATGCCACACTGACGGTTTTATTTTTTTCCGAATATGTTAAACTCAGGAAATAAATAGTAAATTAAATGAGTGCATTAAAAACTGCAGAAATATGTCATGTTTACGTTTGTACCCTGCAGAGTTGTGTTCACTACTTTTCACTTGTGAAACATGCAATTTGACCAGAAGCGCCCAAACTTTTGCATAAAACTGTAATACTGAATATGAATTATAAAACACCACTGCTTTAATTTTTAAACTTCCTAAATGTGTTAACCTCCTCCTGGATGAACATCTCAACATAAAAATGTATCCAGATAGAATTAATAAAGTCAGAGTGGCAAATCAGCTAAAAAGCAGCATAATGACAGTAAGACAACTAAGATGCCTGTTGTGGCCAGTTATATAGCATCTTATGATCTGTTGTCAGGTGGAAGGACAACTGGCTAAATTCTACTTCTCAATGGAAAAAAATAACACAAAATGAAAATGAATGTGATGATTTCTGTTCTGAAATGTAAATTAATTCCATTAACCGCTTAAAAAGACAGGAAGAGCCGAAGCTGCTTTTCTGACTTAATCAGAAACCTTTAGCCACCGACAGCTCTTCCTCCATATCAGAAGCCAATCTCCCCCTCTTGTGAAATAAAAACAGCTTATAAGAAATTGTCCTGAATAATTAAATTTCAGCCCACCCTTAGCAATCAATTACTCGGACTGACTGATGACGCAAAAGCAGGAAAAAATATTTGACACCAATAGAGAAGTTTAGATTAAATGCACTACCACATGAAGAATCAAGGACAAACTTAAGTGGAAAGTCAAACATATTGGGCAAAATGGCAGTTGCCAAAAAAAAAAGCAAAGACAGACATTCACTCATTTCAGCCCTTTTGGCGAGATGAATATAGATTTATTCAAAATAAAGACTGTGCCGTTTGCGCTCTATGTCGTGAGGGAGTGGTTTGTCACACATCAAGTGTCCAACAACATTTTCAGCCAAAACATGACAAACACTTTAAGGATGATGCAGACAAGGCTGAGTCTACCAAGCTGACCACAGCGAGGTACAGAAAACAAAGCAGCATCTTTACTAACTTCTGTGTAAGCAGAAATCAAGCCACAGAAGCAAGTTACAGAATCTCAAAACACGGAAAGATGAGGAATATAAAAGAGGCTTTTCTTAGCTGTTCAGATGTTTTGTTTAATGGTTTACCCAACAAAGACACAATCAACTCTAGAATTAAGGAGCAGTGGAGAGTTGCATAAGTAAAAAGGAGTAAAATGTTACCAAACCCTTGATGAGTGCATTGATATAGATGGCATACTGCAATTGGCAATTCTTGCAAGATACTGTGACTCAGATAGAATCTGAGAAGAGCTGTGCTGCCTAAAACTAAAGCATACACAACTACAGGGGAAGATATAGCTAAGAATGTTTATTAATCATTTTGACGAAAGATCCTGATATTAGGAAAATATTTTCTGTGACAACTGTTGGTGCACCTGCTATGGTCAGAAAATAGAAGGGATTTGTAAAGATAATTGAGGATAATATAGGCCATGCCATGACAAATTTTCATTGCATTATTCTTTAGGAAACTCTTTGTGGCAAGATTTTTAATTATGAGCTTAATATTGTGATGACTACAGGGGTGAAAATAGTTAATTTTCTTGTTGCTTGATCTGCCTTGAAGCACAGACAGTTTCAAACTCTGCTTCAGGAGATGGGAAGTTCATACAAGGACATTCTCTTTCATAGCAATGCTCATTGCTAATTAGCTTTTGACATGCTTTGTGGACTGTCTTGATGCAATCAAGACCTTTTTTGTCAAATAAGACCAAAACTACCCCGAACTGAAAAATGGGTTGTAAAACAAATGTTTGTTTCATATCACCACACACATGCATAAACTGAACCTTTGCCTGAAGGGTGCAGATTAGACTTCTAAGGATCTTTTTTTATTTTAATTTTTAACAAATTGTTTTGCAACAACTGCCATTTTTTCTCAGGGCACTGACACCTCGACTTTCCACCATTTGCGACATCTTTACGAGCTTTTAAAAAATTGCACAATCCATACTGAGCTTGGAGTATACAATACATGCAAGAACTGGCATCAGAATGTAAGGTCAGATTTGAGGATTTCTAACATTTTGGACCAATGTTTTCTCTTCTGATTAAACCAGACATCTTTGAAACCAGTGACATGAGTTTTCCAGTGTTTCAGTGAATGGGTGTTGAGGATTTTGAAAGGCAGCTAAGTTAATTACAGTGCTCAGATTTATGGAACTGGAAGTTCTGGGATCTGCAAAACACACTTGAGGATACAGCAAGCGATCACAGAGTCTCTGTCAAAACCTGTTGGAAGTCCAATGCAGTGAGATCTAATGTTTGAATAAAATGCCATTTTCACTGCTCTAAGCCTTTGGATCAACACACGTCTGTGAACAGGTATTTTCAGACATTAAATAAATTCTGCAGCCAGTTTTGGAGAACTCAGCAAGGGAAAACACTAAATAGGTATAAAATCTCATTTTAGATATTATATTTTAATACTAAATTCTTACTAATCAAAATGTACATAGGGTAATTAATACAAATTAATAAAATAGTATCAGTGGCACACAAATCCATAAAGACAATTGAGCTAACTCTTGGCACACCCCTTGTGAAATACTGCTGACTACTGGTTTAGAGTGGGTATTCAATTCACACAGTTAATGTAACCTTAATACGGTACTGTATGTATCTTTCCGAGACAACTTCCATAGACAAAATTTTTTAATGTAACAGCAGTACATACACTTCATACCCTGAAAATGTACCCCTGTCCTCCTACTGTACTTTTCTAACTGTACTGCTTTTTTGATGTGATTCTTTTCATTATATATTTTACATGCACTCTTCATAGGCACAGTAACTGGTGGTAAAAAAAGCTTTGTACTGGAGTATGATGCAGACAACATGATTCGAGGATAAATACTGCTTCTTTCGTCCACAGGTGGAAAGGTGGGAGTAAGTACAGGTTAATAGAAATTTCAAAGCCTTCGTATCAGATCATGATGAAAGTGCAAGATTTTCAAAAATAGGTAGGAACCATATTCAAAAGATTAAGAAATTCTCTCAAAGAAATCCATCACAGTACTTCATGTGTTATATGTCAATTTTTTTACTTGTAGCACATTTCTGTTAAATAATCTTTTTCTAGATATGAATCATTTCTTTCTTCCATTGTGTTGCTATTTAGCTGTCCCAGGTAAAGTAATGAGTAATTTTTTTACCTAAGGTTGGACTCCTTTGGCCTTACCTTACAATGCCCACTTGTAACCAAACCAACAGGTAAACCTCACCATGGTGATTAAAGAAAAATATGATACTGATAAAAAGGCTTATGAAGACAGAAAAACAGAATTGTACAGAGGCTTATGAAGATGACGTCACAAACATCTCAATGAGAGAAAATAAAATGCAAAGCTGAGACAACTTTCTTCTTCTCATGCATGCTATATGATTATGTTGGTAATTTTGTAAAGCTACGTGAGCTATTTCCCATGCAGTAATTGAATTGTCTATGTGCGGAGGTCTATTTCATATCATCTGGGAGGGACTGGATTCTACACTCAATTTCATTGTTTAAATTCATTGGTTGTTTTAATTCTTTTGCTATTACTGCTTTTGTTAGAGCAACTGAACATAGGCTTCTAATTTCAACCTTATATCGGCCAGCAGCCATATCACCCTGCAACTCACAACTGGCAGCCCACTGAAGCTCAGCAGGTGTGAGCCTGGTCAGTACCTGGATGGGAGACCTCCTGGGAGAAACTAAGGTTGCTGCTGGAAGAGGTGTTAGTGGGGCCAGCAGGGGGCGCTCACCCTGTGGTCCATTTCGGTCCTAATGCCCCAGTATAGTGACAGGGACACTATACTGTAAACAGGCGCCGTCCTTCGGATGAGACGTAAAACCGAGGTCCTGACTCTCTGTGGTCATTAAAAATCCCAGGGCGTTTCTCGAAAAGAGTAGGGGTGTCCTGGCCAAATTTTCCATCGGCCTTTATCAATCATGGCCTCCTTACAATCCCCCTCTATGAATTGGCTTCATTACGCTGCTCTCCTCCCCACTGATAGCTGATGTGTGGTGAGCGTTCTGGTGCACTATGGCTGCCGTCGCATCATCCAGGTGGGGCTGCGCATTGGTGGTGGTTGATGGGAGTCCCCATTACCTGTAAAGCGCTTTGAGTGGAGTGTCCAGAAAAGCGCTATATAAGTGTGAGCAATTATTATTATTATAATAACAGCCCTCAGACCATCAACTCGAACAGGAACTCCCAGGTCTCACAACCACATTCCTTTGGTACTTCCCTACCACTCTAACACACTTTCTACCCCCAGGACCATTATTAACAACTACTCCATTTTACAGGACGACCCCTCCATCGGTACCCTTTTTTCTGACCGCCCAATCATTTCCTACCGCCAACCACCCAGTCTACGTAAACTTCTTGTTCACAGCTCCCTCTACCACACTCGGCAATCATCCCCACCAGGCACCTTCCCCTGCAACAGAACTTGCTGCATCACCTGCAAATACATATCTAACAACACGCCCATTCAATTCCCCTCAGGTCAATTCCAGATCACCCAGTAAACATGCTGTACCTCCAGCAACCTCATTTACTGTATCTACTGCAAAAAATGCCCAGGTATCTACATTAGGGAAACCGGAAGGAGACTAGGAGACCACTTAAGAGAACATGTTAGGGCAGTGAAGATTACAGATTTCTCCAAGGTCACAGTTTCTCATTTCACCTCAGACGGCCATGATCACACTGATCTCTCTGTCTTTGTTCTCAAAGAGGGGTTTCTCAACTCCCACAGCAGAAAGACAACAGAAACTAAACTCATCCTGAAACTAGGTTCACACCATCCCCCTTTTCTCAATGACAGATTTATTTCGTGCGATCTTCTCTATTCTCATACAGGTTTCGACTTCACCCCTCTCTTCACCTCTCTCCACTTCGCACCACCTGAGTGGCCTCTCTGCCTCTCCCCTGCTCCTCCACTCTCCCAGCTTTTGTTCTCCTGTGCTATTTAATCTTTGCTGTCTGCCCTGTCTTTCTCACACCTGAAGAAGGCTCTACAGCCGAAACGTTGTGTTTTCTCTCTTCTCTTTTCAGCATGGAATAAACCTATTACTTGTTCCTTTGCAGACTACGCATGCTGACGCAGCTACCCACCTGAACCACTTATAATACCTCTGCATGTTCCATAGGAAAGTTTACTTTATCACTAAATATTTGCCTTTATCAAATAATTGACATAATATGGTGATGGCTACCAAGCTTTTTGTCCTTCTATTAAGTGAACAGCTGTGTGACGGAAGTTAAACAGGACTATCATCTGTCTCAATGTTTCTCAATCTTTTTCATCACACAGCATACTTACATAAATGTAAAATATTTATAGCACACTGTGCCCCAACTTATAAAATGTCAAAAAATTCAAAGCTGTTTATAATATTTGCTACCTTGCTATTTGCTAATGGTTAATTCTATTGTGCACTTCTGGGAACATTGTACTATTCTCTTATAACAATAATTTTTCATGCAGGAAGAGACAACTAGTTTATTTCAAAGCTAAATCAAATTCATTGTGTATATAAAGGCCCAGATTAAGTTTCAAAGCAGCTTAACCACACACTGAAATAGCAGGATAATGCCTCTTTGAATAAAGCACTTAAGCTGATTAAATCATAATGTTTACCTGCATGTTCAGCATAAAATCTTTGAGAGTCCTCTCTTCGCCAAACTAGATCTTTTGACTTGATGATAATGAAGTGGTTCTCAAGGATTTTTTGATGAAGGGCCTGTTTTAAAAAAAAAACCCAAAGGGAAATCAAGTGCCTGCAGATTTCATCTTCCTTCATGTATACTTGATAGGTACACACAGTAAATCTTTTTTGCTTATATTTGAGCTCATTCTTTTATTATTTTGAAATGCAGACAGGCTTGAAAAACTCTTGAAATTAGATACTGATTGACAAGTCCAATGTACTGTGAGGGGAAAAAGGAGGCTTATTGAACACTTTGGTCCAACAGTTATTACACAGTTCTATTATTGTTGTTTACATTATTAGTAATGCCTGCATTTGTAAACATCTTTTTATATCCCAGAGTGCTCTGCATATAGAAGAGCACCACCACTGCATATAGAAGAGAACCAACACTGAACTGCAGGTTCATGACAGCTGTTATGCTGACAGTTGTTATGCACCACTGGGTGATTCGTAACAGCTGTTATGCACCAGTAACACCACTACAGAGAACACATGGTGGGAAAAAATAAGAAGATGCCGTAACAACTGAAATAAGGGGGGGATTTTAATAGCTGAGAAAGGATGAAAATACACCAGGATACTGGACACTTTAAAATACCCAAGAGGGAGGACTTCAGTTTAATATTGCCTGCGAAGGATGGCATCTCCTACAGCGAATACTAGGGCACTGCTATGGAATTTCTGGTGCACAAGGAGTAGTGCCACCTACTGGTCCACCAAGCACTAACAGAATTGTGCTTGTTTTCTATTAAGGTCTCTCATTCCAAACTCTTCCTTACTTTGTGTTTGAAATGTGAAAAGAGCTGGCTGTCATATAACACGGTTCAAATTCACAAAACACAAATGAGAGCCATAAGAAATGTTCAGTGCGAATATGTTTTGCAATACTTAATTTGCCTAGCTTTCATCACACACTAGAAATAATACTTTATGATACAGCAGGTCATGTTCATTCTTTTTATGTTCTTTATCATTTTATCTTTTTATTGCAGATTAAAATCGAAATAACAAAATATATATGGTTTTATTTTGATTAAAATCAAAGATGAAAACATTTAATATTATTATAAGTACCCGATTCTATCAAGACAAACCCTCAGGGGCAAAATAAACATTAAAGATATGATTCAAAACATGTTACCAAGAGTCTATTCTTCAGGCAACGTCATATCATGACAATGCTATGCTTCCTTATTAACATTTCTCATTAAATAGTTAACTTGTCCTTTTCAGCCGGCTCTTAAAGCATCTCAACAACCCTATTGCCTTAATTACTGAAATTGATAAAATATCTTACCTCAAGTATCAAAGGATGAGCCATTGCATCTGGTTTGATTACAGCCAGGGTGAGCTGTAGTGCCTTTGCATATCGACACGTTGTAAACATCATTTTCTAGACAACAAGAAAAGAAATCTGAGATAATTTAATTTGCCGCTTGATAACAGTACTGTATTATGATAACAAATCAGCCAATATTTACTTAACACGTTAAAACGACATTCGCGCAGCCAGGAGAACACAAGGTGTGCACACTTCAAGAGAATACAATAAAAAAATGAATTTATATTAATTTCAATTTTAAGAAAAAAAATCCACTAAATACAAAGTGTGCCTTAATATCTTTTTTTTCTTCTTTTAGTTATGCTGTGTGCACACATTTCAGGAAACCCGGTAGCTTTTGTAGTTTTGCTCTTTTGTTAAATACCCCCCCCAAAAAAAAACACGTGAAACTAAAAAACGTTCTCCAGTTTTGAAAACAAAATCGTGTACTAAAGCCATGTACTGTATGTGGTGTACAACTCAATAGCCAACAGTTATTATCTGATGCAGGCACGACTTCAAATAAAACATACATATATACATATTTCATTTTAGAGTAACCCACACAAGTCTTAAGTGAGAGCAAGGCGAATACAGAACCGGTCGTCTTTAGGAGTTTTTCTCTCTTAATAAAAATACAATAATACTAATATAGTACTAGATCTACTGTTAAGAAGAAATCAGACTAAAAACGGCAACTCGCGCTAGCTTAAATGAAATGTTAATATGGGCAGCAATAGCTTTTCACAAAAGTGCCAGTCTATGTTGTTAGTAGTGCGCATTTACCTCTATGACAGAAGGTGCTCTAATTCTAATATTTAGATATGTGTCTTCATTCGTTTACCCAAATCACATTCCCTGGAGGCCGCCATGTTGCCTACGAAAAGTTCCGTCCCTAGTCAGTAGCCCGTGGTAATCTTAAGAAATTTTAAATAACTACAGAGAAAGATTGTTATTACAAGCAATTTTGTCAAATAATGGTTTTACTTTTATCAATTTTATCTTCAAAATATTTATATGATATTATGAATCCAGTAAAACCTATGGAATAGAAGATCTTTGACAATACATTATGTCCGTCTACATAAAACATCCCTAAAAAACAAGCTTGAAAAATTGTGAGTTCCGAGTCTGTTGCGAAAAGGATCTAGAAAACTACGTACAGTGCCTTTTTTTAATTCTTTGAGCAGTTTAAGGGAATTAAATGTAATTAAATCAATCTATTAATAATACGAGGAAGACGTTGCGAGCTCACAGGGTTTTATTGTGCTTAATAAATAATGTTACAACGAGGATCGCTGTAGTGGTTTGTGGGAGCAAACAGGGTACAGACTGTTTTTTTTTAATGGGTGTGCTAATCATAGAAGGAGTAAAAGCAGGGAGACGCTATCTCTCTGAATCGCAAGGAGAAAAGAGATAAAAAATGGATCTCTCTCCCTTTTGACAGAAAAAGCGAGAAAAGGTGAGCCACGAGGTAAAGGGAAAAAGTCACTGGAGCAGTTCAATACAGGAGGGAGCATATCACTACAAGAAAATGTACGTGATAGTTACTGAAAATGGTTGAAAGATGGAGAGAGGTGCACGGGAGTTTTGGGAGAAAATTAGCATTTTGTGGTGGAAAAGGGGAAACAGTTAAAAAGTCCAAACAGGACAGTACTCTCCCCTCAAATTCCTCCCCAGCAAAATTTCCTCTGGAGCTGAAAGCAAAGGATCTTGGTCCCAACATAATGATACACTGCAAATGATGATTCATTCACATTAGCAGCAGCAGCAGTTGCTTGGACAAGGAGTAGGGATGGGACACCATAGAGATATTCAGCCTTTACCTTCATAAACCAGTATGAGGCCCTGGAGGTAGCAGCAGTATCACCCTGCAGCTCACAGCTGGCAACCCACTGAAGCTCAGCAGGTATGGGCCTGGTCAGTTCCTGAATGGGAGATCTCCTGGGAAAAACTAAGGTTGCTGCTGGGTGTTAGTGGGACCAGTAAGAGGTGCTCACCCTGCAGTCTGTGTGGGTCCTAATACCTCAGTATAGTGATGGGGACACTATACTGTAAAAAGACAGAATACTGTTCTTTGGATGTGATGTACAACGAAGATCCTGACTCTGTGGTCATTAAATATCCCAGGGTGTTTCTTGTAGGGGTGTTACCCTGGCACCCTGGCCAAATTTCCTCCTGGCCTTTATGAATCACAGCCTCCTAACAACCCCATCTATGAATGGGATCACTCTGTTCTCCTCCCCTGTGATAGCTGATGTGTGGTGAGCGTACTGGTGCACTATGGCTGCTGTTGCATCATGCAGGTGGGGGCTGCACATTGGTGGTGGTGGAGGGGAGTCCCCATTATCTGTAAAGCACTTTGAGTGGAGTGTCCAGAAAAGCGCTATATAAGTGTAAGCAATTATTATTATTAATTTAAAGGAACCCCATTCTCCAAACCCACTAGTTACAACTTAAGAAAGGATTGAACAGGAGCTGTGAGCACACAATCTAAGGAGTGGGTTTCTGTTGAATCCCTGTGTTGTTTATTTTGCTCTCACAGAGCTGAATTTTTGTAACCCTCTAGAACTGGGCCTAAAGTTACATAATGATCACCGTGTAGTTAAGTTAAAATTGCACATGTTGTAAATGCTGAGAAACCGTGTTGAAAAATCACCAGATATTCCCTTTAGGGGGAATTCCGATTTGGAGGTGTTCAGTCACACTCCCACAGATGGTAGCTTTGCACCACTGGCTCCTCAACCGATGCACAGAAACCAAATATCTGAACTGTGGTTCCTCTCGTGACAATAAGGTTTATTTATGAAAATTACAAAATAATAAAGCCACAGATTAAAGTTATGTAGTGTAATTTAAAAAAATCTATTTAGTACCTGACATTTTCAGTGGGTTTCAAATCACTAGAATTGATACTACATACAGTATTTATACTCTTCTGTGTTCTGTCTGATTCTGTGCTGAGTTGAGACACAAAAAATCAGGTGGTGAAAGCTGGTCATTTATACATGTGTAAAATATCTTACAGTGAGCTAGTTCATACTGCACAAAAACATGACAGAAGGTGAAATTATAAATCAGTTTACTTCCATAAAGCATTTCGGGCAATTAAGAAACAGACAAAATATTACAAAACAATTACAAAACATTTTTAAAACTAATTTTACTAATTTTATTGCATGCATTATAGAACAGTGCATCAATAAATCTTAAGGTAACTAAAAATTCTTACAAGATAATGTAAAAAAGATAATGTGATTAAAATATAACACACAGTAAATTATTTGTCTCTCAATTCAGTCTCACACTACACAGTCCATTATCAATTTTATTCATCATAACTCTGGAAATCTATTTTCACACATGAGCATTTTCAACATTCATCAGTTTATCTGATGAATTTCACATTAAAACAGCAAGTGCATTGATTACAAAACATTTTAAGTGAAAATATAAATCTTAAGAGAAAATTTCCATAAATGTTATGTATATCTTGGGCTCCATTTTTTAATAATATTTTTCATCATTCCATTTGTGGGTACTTTATATATGAAGTTTAATTTCTCTGTGATTATTACTGGGGTTCTTACATTTTTTTCTTCTCAAACAGATCTTTCCAGGTGGGCAGTATCTTAGCATAGATCTTTTCAATCTACAAAAGAAAAAAAAATTAGTTCTATACAACTGAACTAATGTTAATCTATGGGGTCTTAAAATAAATAAATATGTGAGAAGTGTCTGGTCCCCTGTCAGAAAAATTCATTAATTGGCAAGGACACAACTCTGATATAATTTTAAAAGTATTTAGAAATGCTGATAATGGTTTTGATTTCAAAAGTATTATTTTAATTTCACAAATATTATTTTAGGCACAATCATATTATTAAAGTGATATTTTTCTGTCTTTCATTTCTTTCATTATATTTCAGGAAAACAAAAGAGTGAAGATAACATGAAAATAATGAAAAAATTAGGAATGGGTAGTTGATATCAATTCCTAATTCTTCTCCCAACCCTGGTCCTGGAGGTATAATGCGTCTTCAAGTTCTCAAGGTCTTTTTAAAGTAGCAGCACCTGAGGAGTTAGGAGAAGCTGAAAAGTTGGTCTAGCTATGCCAATAACTACCTGGGTTAGCTTATTAATTGTTAAAGTGGAAAGAAAACCCTCAGACATACCAGCACCCCAAAGACCAGGACTTAACATTTCTGATTTAATTGATTAAATCAAGCTTTAAGTACCATCATTTTTCTCACAGCTTCATATAATTCAAGTTTTCAGGGGAGCACAGCAACAGGCATACACCTGGGACAGAGCTCCAGGGCACACACAGACACAGACACACTCTCACACCAGGGCCAGTTTACCCAGAACCCAATTAAACTATCAGCATGTTGCTGGACTGTGGGAGGAAACATTAACATTAGGAGACTGTATAAAATTCCACACAGATACAGTAGCACCCAGGTCTGGAATTGAACCCAGGGCCCCAGCACTGTCAGGTAACAGTTCTGACCACTACTCCACCCCACTTAAAGGTACCTGCCACCTTTTAGAATCTTTATAGTATGTCCTATTTAATAGCTCCACTAGATGGAGTATAAACTTAGAAAACAGCGCAGTGTAGTGTATATTAAAAATGACTTTTGTAGTTCCCAAACAATTAAATTCCCTAAGTGTTCACCTTAGTTTTTTTTTCCCAGATAAATATAAGAAGTTGCTGGAGTTCAATCAGTTGATTATACTTTGTGAATATACTGTACTGTGAATAGACATGCGCAAGATAAATGTACATAAACTGCATATTATTTTATAGAAAATGCTTCTTCCATCATTTTTTCTAATTTAGCTGAGAATTATTAACAACCCCAATACAGCTTCAAAAGACTGATAAAGCAACATTAAAAAACATTAAATCAATTCTACCACAGCTGATAAAGATTTTTTTACTTCTTTTAATGTAAAAAGAAACTAAAATAATCACTTAACATCACAAATGCCTCATAAAGGCATTATTAAGTTTTTCTTGTATAATACGTGTTCATACTTGAGTACCCTCCACTTGGAAGAGATTTTAATTTCAGCAGAAAGTAGTTTAGCTGTGCAGCAATATCAATGCTCTTTTTAATTTGTTACCCTTATTAAAATCCATGTTCGTTGTGGATTTTATGAACATATATAGTATTGTTTTTCCATGTTGAACAAGAAATATGCGTAATACATAGGGTGACAACCTGGTCTAAGATCAATTGAGCACTTTAGGGCAAGATATGTGTTGCAAGATGTTTCTAAATTTGAACACATTAACCTACATACTGAGTGGAATTAAGATGAATCTTTCAGTTCTCTTTTGGTCATCTAAAGTATCTACCAGGTGAGAATATTGAAGTTAACTTTAGTTGTTATTGTTATTCTTACTTCTTGTATTTGTATTGCTGCTGAAAGATAATTAAACAACAATGTCCATTTTACATGTAAATTGATTTGTGTACTGCTTTGATTTTAACATTGAAATAAAAGATGAAGAAAACATAGTTATTATTATAATTCAAGTTACCAAGAAATTAAATTCAATTATTACATCTTGACGTAGTGCCTTTGTCACTGGATCTCTTCTGATGATTTAGCAGTCACCAAATCAGACTCTATCTACCCAAAACCTCCCTTTTTCCTCTCTGAGGCTGGGCTGTCAGGATAGCTCATCACCATTTTATGTCAAAATCTCCGGATATAGTCCCACATGGAAACTTTATGGAACAGACAAGTGTTGCGGCTCAAGAGCATAAAGCATTGATTTCATGAAATAGTTCTTTTATGAACCAGTGAACATAAGAGGAAACAACTTTCTTAAAACTGAGAATAGGAAGTACATTTTTACATAAAAAGCCCCTGGGTATATGAAAGAAGCTACCAAGTCAGTATCCTCATTTCTCTCAAGAAACAGCTAAATCGAATTCTTAAATCAGTTAGCTACTAACATCCAAACGCACTAGATGGGGAAAATAGATTTCCTCTGCTTGTAAAAAAGGAAGCCATTTTCTACAATGGAGTCTTATACTTTGTTGAGACTTTGGATTTGCGGATGCCAAGATCAATCAATTAATCTTAATGTTTTGTTGTTTGCCATGGAACACATTTATTGGATTGTACTGCAGCTGACAATATTGTGCAGCAACAGTAGACCACAGGGGTACAGAGCATAGCAATAAAGCTCTGGTGGTCCCAGTTTGCGGGGGAGCAAACCCCAGTGTTTGCCCCCACCCCCGACACTTCAACAAATGACTTTGCAGTACATTAATTATCGCAGGTCTTAATTCAAGATCCTGCTGAGATGTTGTGTGGCTCAGCACCTGCTCCTGCCTTGTAGAGATCCAGAGGAAACTAAATTCTAAGGGAGCCTTTGTCCACGATTCCCAGAGCTCTACCATGTCCACCTGAAGTTCTTCCTACACAAAAGGGTGACATTCAAAGAAAGGGCAAGAAAAGGTGGAAAATTGAAACCAGGTCTCTCAAAAGCCAAGGATTTTGCAATGCATCTAGCACCTGTGTACATAATCCTGGTCCAGACCTTAATGACATAAGTGGACTAAACTCGGTCTGTGTTTATCAGGTCGTAATCACGCGATAATTAAAACCAGCAGGAATCCAACACCACAGGAGCAGGGTTGCTTACTTCTGGTCACGTGAATCTCAGAAGACTCTGGCAAGTCTCTGGCAAGACTCTAGTAAGAGAGAGATGTGCTGGAAGAAGTAAGGCAAAAAATAAAAATGAGCTCCCACATCCCCTGGTCTCCAAAAGGAAAATTGGCCGGGTTTGGGGTGAAGTGATGTTTGTATGTACCTAGTAATTAAGGCACCTGCCAAAGTAATAATGACTCAGGCACCTCCCTAAGAGGTACAGTAACAGCATTTTGCCAGAAAGGGAGCCATTTTGTCTAAATGAGTAGCATTTGGGAAGGTATTAAAGTACATGTACATTTGAGGGGGGGCTCTGTCCAATAGACATCATGTTCGTAAGACTCCATTTAGTCATTGTTTGCAAGCCTAGATTTACTTTTATTTGTTTTGCAGTGTGTACAACGAACACATGAGACGGGTCTTCAGTGATGGCACAGGCCTTCTTCAGGATCTGCTGGTGATATATCTGTGCCAGGAGTCTTACAGGCTGAGCAATGATTTTAGAGCTGAGGTTTAAAACATGTTCAAGGTTTTTTTTCTCCTTTTCACTGAGTAAAGTGAACCAACAGAAGAAAAAGTAAAAATACCTTTGATAAAAGATCTATAAAATGTTGAAAGAATCATTTTTTAACTCAAGAGGAACTCATACCATATAAGCACTACTGATATTTCTTCACGATGATATCCATGTTCTCAGTGAACTTAAGTTTATCCTCAAACACAGTGCCCAGAAATGTGTTACTGTTAACCATACCAACAGATTCACCATGTATTGTTGTGGGAACGATATTGGTTTGTTTTTGAAAATCACAAGTCATTTCTTTTGTTTTTGTTTTTCTCTAGGTAGGAAGTATCACACCAGTTGAAAAATTCATCCAGAATGGGTTCATGTGTTTTTTGTATAAATTTAATCCCCTCTTAGCTACCAAAATATAGACAATATTTGAATTTTTTGTTTTCATATCATACTAATGCATGCTTAACACTCAAATGGGACTTGAAGGATTCAAAGCAAAAACCACATCAGAAATTCAGTAAAGTAGAAAACAGGTTTTGTCATGTAGCACTAGGCAACGGACGGCAGGACACTGTGTGTGGCTATTCTGGTAACTCTGGTTCTATGCCAAATCAGGGGATGAAGAAGTTATCTTGGACAAAAGCTAGGAGGTCAAAACTTTGGAAGGTTCAGAGAGCAGAAGGTACAAAAACGGGTGGCGAAGTTGTAGTAGAGGGCGAGAGCTTGGGGTCAGAAGCCAGGAAGATTCCGAGGAGGCGATGCACCAAAACGGGAGGCGAAGTCGAGGACGTGAGCGGAGAGTCGAAATGCCGGGAGAGTAGTAATCTTTAGGGAAAAGGGCTGGGAACGTACAAGTACAGAGCTCAGGGAGGAAACCTCAATAGTGAGCAAGGAAAGGAAGACAAGAGAGGATTTTAGTAGTGATGAGTTAATTGGTGCATGGGCATTTAGGGGGAGAGTAGAGCTCGTGGAAATGTGGTAGCGCTTGCATGCCTGCGTGTGATTCGTGACAGGTTTCCACTCTAGAGGCAAGATCTACAATCTCATCTACTTAACCTCCCATTACCTCAACTAGGGTGAAAGTACTTCCTGACCCACCTCCACAGTCCCCCTTTGTAATGGACATTTTAATCTTTGCTGGAAGTTTCTGGTTAAAGGGGTTGAAAGAGCACACTTACAAATAAAGAAGAAGCCTGAACAAAGATTCACAACACCTTATGGAGTGTGTCTGAGAGTCACATATTTCTTTGGTATAATTATTGTATCCGAAAAGATTACTTTGCCACTTTGGGTTCAGGAGCTTGAGGCCAAAATAATCACAGCCCTTATTTACAGTACCTGCACTGATTTCTTGATCCCATATCGGTAGAGTGTGGCTTGGTGCTCAGAGTTGTGGAATAGGATGTCATAGGTGACCATCTTTCCCATGGCTTCATCTATCTCAGGCTTGACTTGAACGTAAAAATCGCGGGGTGCATGCTCGTCATCTAGATAATTGTTTACTTTGTATTTCTTCCCGACAACATCAATAGGGTCAATTTTAATAGTTGACTTCAGTGCCCTGCCAAATAGAAGGATCTTTGAATCTGAATCTGTGGAAGAAAACAAATATTTTTAATACTCAATGTACAGTAGAACTGGTGTCTGTCCCATTGCCTTTAAAAGCTCTGATTGGTGGGAAAAATACGTCAACAACCTTTGTGTGCACTGAAAAAACAGTAAATGATTTACAGTATTACATCAGTCATCCCAGTGCCAGTTGGAAGATGTAAGAAACAAAAAAAAAAGTCAATAATAATCACCATATAACTAAAATATTTCTCAAATGGTGTCTTCTTAAGGGTGCAAAGAAGACACAAATCTGGTTTTATTTAATGAATAATAAATACCAGCATACTGTATGTAAACTACATATAACTTAAAAGTGTAAAAGTGCCTTCAGTTACATCATTCTGTACGTGACATTACTTCTGAGTTCAGCTCAGAGTAACTTACCTCGAGAAGTAAAGTGTGCCACATAGGGGACTCCATCTCTCTCACCATAATAAATTCCAAAGTGGGAAAAATGCTTCGACCGTGGAAACTCAATTATGTCTCCTGGATGTAGCTCCGGATGGGAATTGTGCTGCAGCATGAGAACAGGAAATTACTAAAATGAGACATCAAACTATCTTCAGAAAGGCCATTTTCAAGTGAGTTTGAAGAACATTTTAAAACAAAAAACTAGCTGCAGCTATCAGTTTATTTTAGAATCAAGATTTCCTTTTTCAATCAAAAGTTCACTTTTAGCAATATTTAAATGAACTTGTACCATCGAAGGGATGAAATCGTTTACAAGCTGAAAAATCTCCCTCCAAACTCTTAGTGAAAAGTCTAGTTTGTGATTTAATTTTGTATTTGTAATTCCAAATAAGGATAGTAGAGATTGATGAAATAGTTCAAGTTCAAGTTTATTGTCATTATACTCATATAGGTATAATATATAGGTATATAGGTATATGGTATAACGAAATGCTATTTAGCTAGCTCTCAGACGATAAGTAGTACAAAAAAACAACAATACAATTGTATAATAAAAGAAAGACAGAGACAACAGGCAATGTGCAAAAACAACAAAAAGGTAACAGGTAATGTGCAAAAACAACATCAGATGTGCAAAAACATGCATCAATAGAATGAAATAAAAGGATAGAAATAGAGTTCATATCCACCCATCTATCCATTTTCTAAGCACTTAATTCGATTCAGGGTTTCGGGGAAGTTGGAGTCAACCCTGGCAAGCAACGAATGCAAGGTGGGTACACCCTTGGCACAATGCAGGGCACACACACAAGCACGAACACACTCATACAAGGGCCAACTAACCTACCAGTATGTCTTTGAACCACTGAAGGAAACCAGAGCACCCGGGGGAAACCCAGGTGAACATGGGGGGAAAATACACGGAGTAGGAGACAGCAGTGCTAACAGTTGTGTTTTATGGATGGAGTGGTGGCTCTGTGGCTAAGGATCTGTGCCTGTGACTGGAAGGTTGCTGGTTCAAATCCTGTGGCTGGCAGAGGAATCCCCTGCGCAAGGCCCTTAACCCCAACTGCTCCAGGGGTGCTGTACAATGGCTGACCCTCCGCTCTGACCCCAGGCTTCTCTCCCTGTCTGTGTCTTGTGGAGAAAAGCTGGGGTATGTGAAAAGATGAATTCCTAATGCAAGAAATTGTATAGGGCTAATAAAGAAACATTATTATTAGAGTTCATTTGTTTTTAAATCTATGACTGCAAAACCACAAGGTTTTGGTGTTGGCCACATGAGAAAACCATGCAGGTGAGGTCCAAGAGGCTCCTCTTTTGGAGCTCAAACTTTCTTTGTCATTGGGTGGGGGGGGGGTCCAGCGATGGTGTGCTTCCTCTTCCAGTGGAATGAAAGAACGTTCTTGTCAAGGAAGCACTGAGGTCTCCTAGGGTAGTCCACATCCCGTCCCTACTAGGAAGCCCTACTATTAACCCCTTCTATGAACAGGAACTAGGCCTGTTCATGCGTCTTGCTTCATAATCAAATACAGCTATTACATGATTATAGATTGGCTGGTGTGTTGTATTCCTGAATGGTCTATTAAACTCAATTTGACAGTAAAGTCATCTTGAAAACGACCTGAGGTGTGTATAGGAGTCATATTACTGACAAAAAGCTGACACATTACAAACAGTTTTTGTGTATTTCCTTCTGTATGTCCCGATGAACCACCTACAATTATTCCAAATTCTATTATATCGTTACACATGAAGGAAATTGGTCAAATATGAAATTCTTGGTTTACCCCCAAATGCAAACAATGTCAGACATGGTCCATTGGCTACAGCAGGTGATGTACAATAAAAATACATGAACTTTTGAAGAAGTGAATCTACAGTGCTGACAGCTGCGTGTGAAATGCAGCAGCCCATGAATTAACCATGTCAGAATTTTTTGGAGTGTCAGCATCGTCATGGATAATCAGCCCCCATTCCATGAGATACAATCTTCTATAACACAAAAGCAAACCTTAGCTGAATATATGTTTGTATATATAGAGCCCTTCAAATGCAAAAGGAAAGTGTCTAAATATTTTATACTCTTTCTATTGTAATGCTTAAAACCGCATGTCACCATATATGGTGTCTTAATTATGTAGTAAGAATGTATGGTTGTATGTCTCTACAATATTATTACTGTAGAGTAAGAGGAGATCAGACACTGTTAGGTGGAAAATCCAGAAATATGCCATCTCTGTTATCCAAATGTTAATCAGGCTTGCAAAATGTAAATGCTACTGATTTGACTATGCACTATTGACCAGATTTTTCTGAAGTACTGTCAGTAAATCAGTAAATCCAAACAGAAAGCCCCTGAAAAGTCAGATAAATAATCATCATGCAGCAGTACTGCACAGGTCATTGTAGTTTGCATATAAACAACACAATCTTGATTATGGCCGGAGAGTTTTTCCAGCATACATTGGAAGCCTGAGTAACTCTGTTGATGGAAACGAGTTAGGGACAACTGTAAAGCCTGTAAAGAAGAAATCTTTCGAGGAAAAGAAATGGCCACGACTGATACATTGCCCTTGAAATAAAACATTTATACACTGTATCAAAACAATCAAAATCTCTGTTTTCATGGTTCTGTATTGAATTGTCAAATCAATTCTTAAATGTTACTGCTTCGTAAATAGTCAACATTTAGAGAGAACTCTGGGTCCTGAATCTTCATCAACTATACTTTATGCCACTGTCCAACTATATGGCCTCCCCGGAAGTAAAAGCAAAAAACGACAAACGATACAATTTAAACATTGTTTTTTAATATTACCTTTTTAAACTGCTGTCTGGGTTATTGAAATACAGTACTTGCATGCAACAGTGTATTTAATTTGTATATGTTTTACTGCTTTTTTTCCCAAAGAAAAAACATTTGAGTTGGCTATGTTGTTTATAAAGAAGTAATGTCTTTGCTCAGATATTAAATGTCCTCCAGCTGGAGCCATCTTCTGGAGCCACTGCATTTAATTCCTTTAGAGTATACATTATACTGTACTTCTTTTCACTAGTCTTTCAGTGTGTTCCTGCAATACAGACTGTGGCATTGCAACAATTTCATTTAGTGTTTTGTGTATGTTCTTTATAATTTATTTTCCATCCTAGTTAGGCTGTTTGTACATAAAAATCAGAATATTAATTTGAAGTCCTACCAGTCCCATTGGGTTTAAGAAAACTTCAGTCCGTTCCTGGTGCTTATTCCACTGAAGAGAAAATAATTACTGTTTCACCCTTCAAAGATTTGAAAAGTTCTACAGAAGAGGAAGAAAAGCCCTTTTACATTGAAGTGAGAGATGGGTGGGGGTTTCCCTCCACGCATGCAAGGGCATCATTTAAATAGATATAGGCAGGCTAATTTTAGTAGAATGTTCACAGATCAATGCAAGAGAATAACATTCTCGTGATAATAAGGACAGTATGCTCGTTGACATCATTGAGAGAGAACATGCGTGCCCTCCAATTTGTAGTAACCTTTACCACAAAGAGAGACTCTTAATTGTCTTTTTTTCTTCTGTTTTTACTGTATAACAATATAAACATATTGGATGAACAACCAAGGATGAATATCCTATGCACACCTAGCAAATCATTATGGGCTTTTTGACTCCTCGTTTGCAGTGTTCAGATATTCAGTTACTACTGTATATTGTATAACGGCAAATGTTTCAGTGGTAATAAATTGTAACCTAGCGAAAAGAAACATGTTCAGTTTAGTTTTGAACAAGAAGAAGAAGCAATCTCTGTAGGACTTAAAGAAGAGGGTGTCAGAGTGAAGGTTTACCAATTCTGAGACAGTGTAGTTCAATTTTACCTTTTTCTAGGCACTGTTTACAAGCATCCAAAACTCAGACACTGTTTTGTATGATATACTCTTCCAATTCTTAATATTTTAATTGGACACATATATGGCATGCTATGAAATTTGCTTAATAACCAATGTAACCATGGGAGATTGTGCATAACAAAAAGAAAAAAAGTCATCTTTAATAGTTGCAAAAAGAGATTCACATTTCCAAGAAAGGTACCTATTGTATTTCACTAGGAATGACAACGCCCAAGATCAAAGCGTAATGAACTGTTGAAATTTGGCTTAACCTGCTTGGCTGAGGGTCTACCTCCTGGCCATAGGACGAAGAGGCCAGGACCCCCAAAAAGAACCAAGCGGGACCCCAAGCCACCAATGCAGAATTTGGAGGAACCTGAAGAAGGTGTGGTCTGTGACGCATGGATTGATGGGGCAGTAGGGTGGTCAGAGTGCCTGTCTGTGTTCTGTATAGGTTTACTGTAGGGAAGTCTGATTCTGTTGGCGTAGGCTGGTCTCTTATTATAGGTACGCGTCGAGGCGTTGACGGAAGGGAATTTAAACGAACACGGGGTCTAAATGATGAGAAACCGTGTACGCGTTTTGTAGATGGGAAAGCAAATCTAAAAACTATTAAGAAAACTAATGCTATTAGTGGATTGGGTTAGTGGTGCTGGTGTTATCTGGATGGGTACTGGCCCATCTTTGCGATTGTGTTCCCCAAAAGCAGTAATGAAAATTGGAGACTTCTGCACTTGATTCACACGGTGATCAGGAGGAGAGATGGAGGTAGACAGTTGCAGCTAGGCCTTTTGTAGCCGTTAACTTTGATGAGGGTTTCCTGGACAGACGGAGTGGCCGGCTCGAAGGAAATGCAGAGGCGTGTAAACCTTATGGCAAGTGACACCTTTGCTATCTGACGATAAATTAAGTGTGAGGAACTAACTGCTAGGACTCTTATGGACTCTGGAACTGGGTAGCAAGCATTGATGGCCTTATGACAGATCCATGTGGGCACTGTGGAGAGGAAAACAAAAACTCCCATTAAGAGAAAATAAACCTCTGGGGGGTTAAGGGTGTGGATATTACGTGAAGTGAGAGCAGTACTGGATCCAAGAAGTAGTGGTGCGGAGTGGGAGAAATGATCCCGGTACTGAATTGGACATCGGGGATAGGGACTTGAGTCAATTAGTTCCTAACTACCAAACAAAATAAATTGGCTTAATGGCCTCCACTTGTTTCTCTTCCCCTTTGTTTTTTTTACCTTTTAAACAGACTTAATCTGGGGCTGAAGTGTTTTATGCCACATATTTTCTGTAACTCATGCTTTTTTTACTTCATTTTGGTTGTTCATTTTATCTCAGGAAGCTTTATGTTTATCAAATGGTCAAAAGAAGAGATACAATTGCTGCTAAAGAACATTAGTTCATTAATATTATTTTACATAATGCTTCACAGTTTTTAAACAATAATGTTTTCTATTGCCTAGCTGATGCTAATACCCATTCCAAATACTGTTTGTTTATGAGTTATGAGTTTCTTCAATGTGGAAGGTTTACTGAATGAACAAGGTCCCTTTTAGAATGGGAACCCATGGTGATATACCGGTCCTTATCTTCAAGTTTGCATTCCAATACCAGTGTGTCGGCATTAGACAATATACAATTTTATTAATATCGTGCCAAATATATCTGTATAAATATACAGTATATTGGTATGAATATTGTTACAACCATCGGTCCTCATCGGCTTCAGCGCTTACCTATAAACTACAACTACAACTACGTGCCGCCACACGTGTTGACTATCACCCACGGCGGTTCCTCATCAACTCCTATCGAGTACACTATCCAATCCTGAGTAGTACTTAAACCTTCTGTATGCACTACTCTAGGCTAGTTTCTTGTCTTGAGCCTCTACCTCGCATATTCAACTGCCTTCTCTGATCGTCTCTTCTGGATTTAGACCTCTCTGCCTGTTCTTTTACCACGACTTTGCCTAACGGATTGGATTTCTTTGAGGACTCCCTTGGATTCTGACCCCCATTTCTCGTTCCTGGACCTGGACCCTATTGTGCCTATTGTCTCCACCCTCTCTCGAACACTCTCTCCTCTCCGCAGAGGTTTCTAAGATATTTCACCTTGGCTGCCCAAGCAAATAAGCCTGTGGATAATCATTCACACAGGGATTGCAAAAAATATTCATTGTAAAACGGTTAAAATAGAGTGACTGTAATACAGTCTCATACAACTACTCCAACGTTCATACACTCAGCAGACAAGTAAATATTCTTTCTTGAATTAAACTTTAATTTAATTTACTTTAAAATTTATTTGGGATTACAGCTAAATTCCCGGGGGTTACAAAATGAACATTGAATGTATCCTCGTTCTTGGCAAAATCTTGTTCAGCATTGTGGACAAAGAAACAGTAGAGAATGTTTCTACCTTGTCTCACACTGATGATAGCTCCTTTATTGGGAAACATGCTCAAAATCTGACTCTGGTCTAGCCACAAATTAGATTTAGATTACAAGGCACTTAGAAAGTCTGCACACCTGTATTTTTTAGCTGCTACTCTGAATATTCTGTGATATTCAGTTGTGTCGACAACAGTCCAACTGCATTTTGCTAATTGGACAGAATTATAGCTGGGAGCTGTTCTCAAAACCTATTGTGTGGCAGAGAAGTCTTAGGCAGAATTTTGTTTATAAAGGTCAGTCCAGCAGTTACTTTAAGATAACTTTGTTCTAGATACAGGTAGGATATTTGTGGTAGCAGTGACTGGTTAGTTAGCTGTCAAAGAGATTAGACCATGAGCCTGAAATGCATCCCAAATTGCTGTGCAGAACTTTTCAAGTCAAATGATCACAGGAGGTGATTAGTTCTGGAGTCAACATGTGTAGTTTTCTTCTTAGGTAAGATTGTCCACATTAGTAGATCCCTCTGGTCATAAATCTGTGGATTTATGACGGGTGACTTCCATCTAGACAGGCATCGCTGTTGGCAGTTCATCATTGGAGGTGTCACGATGAGTCCAATTTGTGATGTCCTGGTTAGCGTCAATGAATTAACTCATCAATTGTCAGTCTCCCATGTCCCCAACATTTCTAAGAACTTCCTCAAAGGAGATAAGCAGTTTCAGGTTGATCTTCTATTTGTACTGGGAGAATTATTATTGATCTGTTCCTGAACACTTCATCCTAACGACAATAGTCTAAGTGTCACGCCCTCTACAGCTAGAGGGCGCTCCTACTCTGTCCTGTCCCTAGTTTCCCTTGTCCTTCCGGTGTGTCTATATATTTCCAGGTCACTCTTTCCTTCTTACTCAGCATTGAGGGCTCGGATGTCTTGAGACCCGCCTACCACCAGGTCGTCTCTTCCGCAGCCTGAGGACATAGGTTTCTACCCGACATTGTCTGACCAGCTGAGCCCGGGCTAACCACCGTTTTGCCACTACACATAGGTCTTTTTTTCGGTCTCCTGCCATTCCATGGCATGCCTTTCCAACATCAATGACACTAAGCCTTGCTACTACAAGAGGAAGGATAAAAAACAGAGAAGATACAATACTGAGAGAGAAACAAAAACAATTTTATTTATACTGTATTTCCTATACATGTTTTTATACATGTTTTAAATTGTATTTGTGCTCACAATCCAAGTAACTGAAAGAGTTAACAGTCAACATTTTGCCCACTAAGTTATCTAACTCCAGTCTAGCAGAGGATCAAACTCCAATATAAACTGACTCCTAAAATGATCTTCAGCAAGCTGAGATGCAATATACAGTATTTTAATATATTAGCATCCAGACCCCCTGAATTTAAACTATTTGTCCCGTAGAAATAGAATGTATATTGTAATGTATATTTTAGACTTCAAATGTATTTAGACTATTTACAGTAAGTAACAAAATGATACAACAGTAAGCATTGGTGTGTAAATAAGGAAGTGAAGCCGAAACTGATGCCACCTCCTTCAGTAACAATGACTTCAACTAGACCTTTCCTGTGACTGCTTAACAGTCTCCCACATTAGCTTTTAGAAACTGTGGCTCAAAAAAGATTTATAAGAAAGTCTTATAAAACTTCTTCAAGTTGGAGACATTTGAAGATTTTTCTTGAATAAACAGTTCCCTTATTTTACTTAAGAAGAAATTCACTAAGTTACTGACCATTATATACTGCAGGGCAGGGCAGGGCTGCACAAACTCAGTCAGTTTACTTGTAACTTCTGTTACAATTACAGTATTTAACCAGCTGGCTAGAATTACCTTCTTAATTGAAGTAAACTAAGGTTCACTTATTATTACACATGTACTAATTCTTAATTATTCATTATTTTCTACTGTATACACCAGTATATCTAAAAAAACAACAACAAATTGATATATATATATAAGCATTTTTGGTTATTTAAGAAAATACCAGTTTAGATTAAACAAACATATCCTGGT